TTACAGCCAGAGCGTAAGTGTAACACCATAATTTTTGTTTTTTTTTCCTTTTTTTTTTTTCAAGCGCGGGATGGTAAAAGGTATTAATCATTGGAGAAAAGAGGGATCGTTATCAACATAAAATGGAAAGGAATGTAACGGCGGAGAAGTGGAGGTCACATGGGAGATGACGAAGAAGGCCCCTTGACTTCTCAATTCACACAAGACTGTCCACTATAGGCTTCCACCCTCCTCGGTCGCCGGAACCCCGGCATGAATCATACACTCTGGAACCTTGTGGGCCATCCCCTGCCTTTTCTTCTCTCTTATTCTTGTACAGATATCCTCCCAACAATTCTCAGCTAATCCCACAATATCACTTCATCTCTACTCTAACCCAATAAAATCATTTCAATTCAATAAATTAAATGTTACGTGGCTGTTTGGGTCAACTTAACTCTTATAAAACCCCCAATATTTAATTATGAAGATGGACAATAATTAAAGGAAATAAGAGGAATCGACCAAAGAAAACAATAAAAGAAAAAAAGAAAAGAGGAGGGAAATGCGGGGTGTGAATTAATTGAGAGAGATGGATGGATATGTGCGAAGGGATGATGAGGGACCTTGCATGTGGATAAATAAGAGGAGAAGGAGAATGAGGACAACAGAAAGGGTAGATGAAGGAGTAAAGGGGAGAAAGAAGGGGCTCGTTATGGCTGCACGCAGCCTCTGGTGTCCAATGATAAGGGCCTAACTCCTAACTCTCTGAGCCGATAGGAAAGCCTTCTGAAACCCCTATCATTTTGCATGACAGGTCATCTCCTTTGTACATGGAAGCCGCAGCACTCCATCTCCATTCCCCATGTGTTGTTTCCCTCCTTTAATTTGTTGTCCTTTAGTCATTTACCATATGAAAATGGATCATGCAGAAAAATCGTCCCTGTTGCGGTAATGGGAGTGCATATTTTTCCATATGTGCACGCTAACCTACTCAATTTAAACACAGGCCCTACCCAACAAATTACAAGCGTACGTGTCTCTATATATGTGTGTACGTGCTGCCTCTTGGTGTCTCTCCCCAAGGGAGGAAAATAAGAAGGGTCGGCTGGGCTCAAAATCATGCACTTAACGCTTATTTGGAGCTGTTTATGATGAATATTTGTAAGCACATTTATGTAAGTTGAGATAAAATTCTCCTCATTTGCTAGCCTCATATTTGTGATTGGTTCACGTGTGAAGATGCATTAAATACCATATTTTGGTATTAATATCACACAACATGAATGAACATCAACAAATAGAGTTGAGAGGAAAACAAAACTAATAGGAAACATAAATGTGTGGCCAGAAAGCTGGAGTGGTGTGATGTGTGCCTGAGAATGAGGGGAAGGGGACCCAGGGGCATACAACCTGAGCTGTACCAGCGTAAACAAGGTAGGATCCATGTTCGTGATAGGAGCAGAGCCTTTTGTATGTAGACCCAACCCCAATCTTGCAGCAGAAGCAGCCACGCAAATATTCTGGCCACGTCCCTCTTCGTCCTCTCCAACTTAAAAAAAAAAAAAAACAAAGAAAGAAAACAAGGCAAAGTTAAAGATGGGGCGATCATTTCATTTATAGATAATTGTCAATTCTATTCTCTCTCGAATCGTGTTTCTTGTGCCCTTAAGCTTGCCTCTAACTCAAACTTGCGGGGCCAGGCTTTCCATGTGACAAACATGGTCTGTTCCTTAATTAACCAGGAATGCGCGTCACCCTTATTTTTATATATACATCCTTCACTAACTAACTTTGTTTAATGGACCCAACTTGTAAAAATGGTCTTCTTTATGCAGCCGCAGCTTCAAAACCCCCAGACGTCATTGAATGGTCAGAGTCTTGCACTAGCCAGCTCTTTGGTTTCATTTCATCACAATAGTAAAATAATACTACCTCCGGTTCTTAATATAAGATCTTATTTGACTTTTATTTTGGTCCTAAATATAAGATTTCAATCCACTTTGTCTTTCATATTTATGCATTTTTTTTCAAGGTAGTCCTTTTAATAATTATAGTTTTAGCCAATATAGTTGATTAGTAAGGATATTTTGGGAAAGACAACACATATTTATTACAAATAACTAACTTAACTTCTTTCCTTAATTTCCTCAAATCAGTCAACTGGGTCTTATAATTAAGACCGGAGATAATATAATGAATGTGACAAGACGCCTAACAATTGACAATTATTTCTCCTGTCTAAAACGTGGTTTCTTCCCTGGCTAGTGCTTCGCCTCGAGCATATATTACTGTTAACTTGTCACGCGCAGTTTAATCTTGAGCTTAAGTCAACAATTTACTGTTAGCTTCGCCTCGTGCTAGCCAACAGTTTAATCGTGAGCTTAAGTCAAAACTTCCCGTGAGTCGCCCCCTGCAATGATTATTATTAATATGGCGAACTTGGTTTTCAAATACCTTCAACAGTGGCCAACCCAAAAAAATAATTTAAAAAATTGCAAAATTGACATTCAGAAAAATCAAAATAAGAAAGGACACGTGGATGGAGATTCCATGGGGTGACGTGGCAGCATTCCAAATCAAGGGGATCCTGATGCGGTTGGGCAATTCCAACAAGGCCGTCATTTTCCAGAGAGGGGAAATTAAAGCTTTTCCATCTGAAAGAGCAGTTCATTAACCAATAATGTGGACGGAAATAAATATTTTGGATCCTTCGCACTAACAGTTAGCTTCCTAAAATTGAACTCAGAGTGGGAATAATCTGTAAGATCAGACTTAAAGTATAAGACAGGACTTATACTTTATAACTGTTAATTTTACAAAACATCAATATTCTCATTTTGTTTTTAATGACTTCGACGCCTCTCATTTTCCGAATTCCAGACTGGAAAATAAGCAGCCGGGGCTAAAATATTTTAAAATATTTCTTCGGGTGGTCAATAAAATAGTAAATTGATGTTTGAATTGATTACAAGCACCAATAAAAGTTGTCATATCAAAAGACGGTACGAGACCAATAACGACAACCAGAGATTTCGGAGGAGGGTAGAAACGAAGTGGCAAAGATGGCAAAAAGAAAAAAGCAACGACGTGGCAAAAACCATGAGAAGGAGAGACACAATGAGGGAGAAATTGTGGGAGCCGTGACAAAACAAAGAAGCACATACGGAGAACAACATCGTTCAAGTTTGTTACAAAATACTATACTATTGGCATTTTCCTCTTCCACTCTGCTGTTACTAACTTGTGAGTTGCTCTCGTCATCAAGCGTTTTCTGCCCACTAGGCTTTGTGGATTTTGTACGCTGCGAGTTTGTGACGGATCTTCTAAAAATTTTAACAGGATTTATTTTCACTTCAAAACTTACCACGTGGCTACCTGGACAAACTTTTCTGGCGCATCTCTCGTAGTAGTTTTTTTCCCCCAATAAAAAGTGAATTCATTACTGCACAACAAAATAAAGTACGCCTTATTATAGACTGGTTCTTTCATTCGGCTTCATCTATTTGTTGAAAAAGCGGTGGCTGATCAATGTCATGTTATGAGAAAACATAGCTTAATGATCCGAAATTCTAAGTTTTACATAAGTAATAATTAATGATGTTCCTAACCGGTAATATAAGATCTGTTTAACTAATTTAAAATAATTTTAAAAACTAAATAAATTATTTAATTATAACATGTATTGATACATGTACATCATTAGATTATATATCAATCTTTTTCACAAGTCAAACAAACCAGTTTTAAAAAAAATTATATTTTAAAATAATTTATTTGACTTGATTGATCTCCCAAGATCAGTCAAGTAGATGTTATATTAAGTACTAGAGGTGGTAGACTCTTTTTGAATCCTGGTAAACTTGACTTGTTTATTTATTTGATTTGATTGTGATAACATAGACACTGCAGCTCGTGTGGTGACGAATATGATAAAAATAGTTTTTCTTCCCCATTTATTCCAATTCACATGTTGGCATGGCCTGATCCAATATGGCTGGAACGCATAGTTATCTTATGCCAATTCAACTCACAATTATATCCTAACTGAAACTAAGTATTTCTTTTAATTTTTTTTAAGTGTGAGGTCGCAAGTTTTGAACTCTCAGTGAAGAGTATGATGAACGTTTGGATTACGGAAGAGAACAATTAACAAGCCGAGGGCCTTCTTAAAAATGATAACCTGATCCGGAGGGTAAACGCGCCTGGACAAACCTGACATTGTAATTAGATGTGTTCGAGTCTAATCGGTTAGTGAATATAATTATGTCATCAATAACATTAAGGATTCGGTGGGATTGCACGTCACTTCAATTATGCCAGTCAAATTTGCTATTCTCACCCGCCTAAAATTTGTCGAATTTAATAAATGATTGGAAATTCCATGATTTCATTTTTAGTCATATACTGGTGATCGATTCTAGCTAGGTACCAAATGTTCTGCTCATTTTAGCAGGAATTTTTTTAAAAAATAAATTGCGAGAGTCTTTTTTTCCTCTGTTGGTAAACCCGAGGACTCGTGATTGGTCACCGGTTATCGTCTATAAAGTGGTTATCACCGGCTGCAATCAGTCACATTATTTCTGCCATTTTTTTATAACTATAGTTTCGTTGGCAATAGGTCATTTTACTATTCAGAGAAAAAGAAAATTTTTTACTTAAAAAAAGGGAAAATTTCTCGTCTTGCCATGGATACATAAAATTATAAATAAATATAAATGTAAATGTAAGCGTCATAAAAACTGTTCATCCTTGATGGCCCAAAAAAAAAATCTCACCCCTAAGGAAAAAAAAATGAAAGAGTCAGAAACCTACTATAATATAAGCCGCTAAACTTGCGAAAGAGAGAGAAAATGTGATGAGTTGCCAGCTGTGAAGGCGAAGGATGAAAGCTTTTCCATAAGGGTCAAAGCTGTCCATTTTTCTTTCAAAGCTTTTACTCTACGCTGCCTCTCTCTCCCCCCCCCCCCCACCTCCCCAGTATTTAGCATTTACATGAATTCATTTTCCTCCTCCTCTCAGTCCTGAAACTCTCTTTCTCTTCCTTCTCCCTATATATTTCTCTCCCCTCATTATTAGAGCACAGGAAATATGTGCATGCTTTAACTGGGGGAAGGGAGAGAGAGAGAAAGGGACCTTTGCAATTTGATGTTTCAATCCAACATTGAATCTTCTTCTGCTTCGTTCTTCATCTCCATCATTCCATCATGGCCGTCACTTCTCCCTCCCCCAACACTTCCGATAAGAAGCACTGGTGGCTTACCAACCGTAAGGTTAACTAGCTTCCCCTGACTCCTTTCTTGCAATGTCTTTGATTTGTGTTTTGTTGCTGGGAATTGATTAATTCGAAGCTTTCTTCCCCTGTTAACATCTTGCTTGTGTCTGTAGATTGTCGAGAAATACATTAAAGACGCTCGCGCCATGATTGCCACCCAAGAACACGGCGAAATCGCTTCGGCTCTGAACCTTCTAGACGCGGCTCTGGCCATCTCTCCACGTCAAGACAAAGCCCTGGAACTCAAAGCCAGGTCTCTTCTGTTTCTGCGGCGGTTCAAGGAGGTGGCCGATATGCTGCAGGATTACATTCCCAGCCTCAAAATGACAAGCGAAGACTCAGCCTCCTTTTCTTCAGACAATTCGTCACAGCAGTTTTCGAGGGAGGGGGTGAAGCTCCTTTCTTCTTCGTCCGAGTTGCCGTGTCGGGATCAGAGTTTCAAGTGCTTCTCTGTATCGGACTTGAAGAAGAGAGTCATGGCAGGACTATTCAAAAACTGCGACGGAGAAGGGCAATGGAGGTAAATCGACATATTATTATTCTATTCCTGTTCCATTGTTTTTAGCGTCTCTTTGTTCCATTAAACTTGGACTCTCTTTACTTTGGTTTCGATTATTGCTGTCTGTATTTGAGTTTGAAATCAGATCGGTGTCCATGTTACACTGAGCATATGATCATGCCAGCTATCATAATTGGTTTCCAGTCATGATTTTTAAAATATAAAGCACACAAATTGCTTACTATTGCCATTTTTCTGCATGTGCAATGTGAAATGCTGTTGCTGTTTCTTAATTAATTTGAATTTCAAGATTGATAGATAAATGTAAATCTTTGGCTCCAACAGAAATTCTATTCTTTTCCTCAATTGAAAAAATATATATACTTAATAAAAATAACGGGTTCTTTTTGAATGTCCTTAGATATGTGGGAAACCTCGTTCTTGAAGATTGTTACTCAAATCTGTCATTACAGTGTGCTCGTTTAATTTCTCAGACTTGAGATGTGGGTTACAGAACGATAATTGTTAACTCTGTTTTCATTTGAATGCAAACTACAGGTACTTGGTTCTGGGTAAAGCATGCTGCCATCTAGGTCTAATGGAGGATGCAATGGTCCTTCTTCAAACGGGTAAACGCATTGCCGGCGACGCCTTCCGCCGCGAAAGCATTTGCTGGTCTGATGACAGCTTCTTCTTATCAGCACTCACTTTCTCCGGGCACGCCAACAACCCAACACCCTCCACTCCTCCCAAAACACCTCTCACCGAGTTCGAAGGCATCACCCAACTCCTCAGCCACATTAAGCTCCTTCTTCGACGTCGCACGGCCGCACTAGCCGCCCTCGATGCTGGTCTCTACTCTGAAGCAATCCGTCATTTTTCCAAAATAGTTGAAGGCCGCCGCAGTGTGCCGCAAGGTTTTCTCGCCGAGTGTTACATGCTCAGAGCCTCCTCCTACCGCTCCGCCGGTCGCATAGCAGAGTCTATCGCTGACTGTAATCGTACTCTGGCTCTCGACCCGTCTTGCATTCAAGCTCTTGATACCAGAGCCTCCCTCCTGGAAACAATTCGATGCTTGCCGGATTGCCTGCACGATCTTGAACACTTGAAACTTCTGTATAATTCGATCCTACGGGATCGAAAGCTTCCAGGTCCTGCATGGAAGCGCCATAATGTGAGGTACAGAGAAATTCCAGGGAAACTCTGCACTCTCACCACGAAAATCCAAGAACTGAAACGAAGAGTGGCTTCTGGAGAAACTAATAACGTGGATTACTATCCTCTGATCGGGTTGTCACGTGGGTGCTCTCGGTCGGAGTTGGAGAGAGCTCATCTATTGCTTTGCTTACGACACAAGCCTGATAAAGCTTTCAACTTCATTGATCGGTGCGAGCTAGCGGACGAGCGTGATCTCGAATCAGTTAAGGAAAGGGCTAAAATGTCTGCTTTGTTACTTTATAGATTGCTTCAGAAGGGGTACACGAGTATAATGGCGACGATCATGGACGACGAAGCAGCTGAAAAACAGAGAAAGAAAGCAGCAGCTGCGTTGCAAGCTGCTCAAGCAGCTGAGTCTTCCAGATTGGAGTCTAATTTGAATGTCTCAGAGCAAGTGGGTGGCAATAGGAATAATTGTTCGGTGGAAAATAAACCCACAATAGTATCTTCTTCGATTGCGAATTCGTCGGTTTTCCAAGGTGTATTTTGCCGTGATATTGCTGCAGTCGGGAATATGCTTTCGCAGGCAGGATTTAACAATCCGATTCCGGTGAAGTATGAGGCATTGAGCTGTTAATAAACCCATCCTTATGGAAATATAACAGGGCCCTTTAGGATTGCTGCCGGCAGAGGAAATCGGCGGTTCATTTGCTTGATTGTACATGAAATTATTTTTACTGCCGGAAAATTTTGTCGCTTTTTTTTTCCCCCTGGTATCATCTTTCTTTATTAGTTGTCCTATATATGTAGTTATCTATATCAGATGTACAGGATATCAGTATTTAAGCCTCTGCTTCGGCCCTTAATTAGACTTCTGTTCTGTTCAGTTCGATGAATCCCATTTAATAAATTTGGCTTTTAGAGAGCCATGCTAATACTAGTAATTTATGGAGTATTTATAATGGAGCAATAGTAATAAAGCTGATATGGGTAAATGAAATGCCTTTATTGTTGGGGGAGCAACAGGAGCTACGAATAGAGTCATTGAAAGCGAGAGAAATCAGCACAGACTGAAGCTGCCATCCTCGGCTTTTTTCACCTTGTCCTATCCGCTTCGCATTTAATTGCCCTCTCATGGGTTTATCTCAGAAGCTGACTCTTCTGACATTCCATTAGATTTCACTTTCCTTGTTCTTTGAATCCGCCAAAAAATTTGCAGCATCCGAGCATATACAAGATGAACTCTTTCCCCTCACTAGGTGCCATTTCTGTTCAACTTTTCTTCAACTGACTAAGTGGACGCTGCTGCTGTGAGGAAGAGAATGCATGGGGTTATTTGAACGTACGGGGTCACAATACGGAGTTGCAAATCGTTGAAGGACATTTTAAAGCCGTAATAGAGGAAAGTTTCCAAAAAAAAAGAGTAGTCAGTTCTTTTCATGAGGCCTGCATACATGCAACAATTGCATGAGTCTAATCTACACTCAATACAAGAAAACAAAAAAGTTAGAAAGGAATTGTCAAATCAACTTTCTCTTTGTCATGATGAGGGGGGGCCACTTCCCCACTAAACCTTCTTTTGCCTTTATTGCTCAAGTCGCGATTTTTCTGATATAAAGCCAAATATTATGTGGGAGCTAGGGCTGGTTATCACCAAATCATGTGTACACAGCAAGTTAAAATGTTGGTAATTAAAGGCAACAGTCATATTAAAGCAACCCAAGGTGGCATCTGAAAACAAGCAGAGCCCTCCAAAAACAAAATATTACGGTGAAGATTTTAAAGAAGGTTGTTGGAAATGAAGAAGGCAAGGGTTCAGCCTCCGAAGGCTAATAATGGTAATTGAGGCTTTGAGGCGTGGCTTCTGATACAAGGAAAAGCCTGTCTTTTTCTTCTCCCATGCAAAAGTAGCACTAGTATTATTGTGTTTCTACAGTGATTCCTGCTGTCACTCACTCTGCATTCTGCAGCAGGGATACAACTGTTGCCAGAATTTACAACTCCTCCTTAATTCAGTAAGTGCTGAACCTATGAGATTGGTGGACGCTCTTTTAAAAGAGCCGTAATATGAAAGAAGCTTTCAAGCTCGAGATCAAAACTAATAATGAATGGTAATAAAGAGCCTTCTGTAAATGGAAAAATACAACAAATTCCATGCGCTGAGAACTTCCTTAATGCTGACAAGCACCAACCAAAATGCTTTCAATATCTCCCACTGTTTGAGTTGGCGAGATTAATGTCTCAAAGCAGGTCTGGGACTGGATGGTACATTTGCCTATTCGTTTTAAGTACTCCTATCACGCTAGTGTTCCACTATATTGGATCTCCCTCCTCATACTGCGTGATATGAACCAAATTAACAGTGAAATTTTGTTTTTTGGGGGGGGGGGGTTAGAGGGGAAAACTATCTATTTCCATTTTCATTGATTTCACCTGTCAGACTGACGTACATTGCACAATTTTCACCCTTGACTATAGAGAACGTGATTGTTTTGTTAAATAAAAGGCGGCCTCGAGGGGTTTCCCAAAACACAGTTTTTGAGTCGTCATATATATTATTTAAATATTGGCAAGTGTTCCTCGGATTCCCGGTGGCCTGAAAATATCAGAGAGTATCAGTGACTGTAATTAACAAGCAATGCACTTCCTGGGCACTAGGCTGATTAGGCAAAATTCAAAAGTGAAAACGAATTTTATAATGAAAACAGCCCGTTGAGGGGGTTGGTTGAATTTGTTTCGCCTGCTGGTATGTAGCTGGATTTATTGTCTGATCGCATTTAGTCATTGCACAGCTAAGAGATTATGTTAAAATACTAGTTTCTTGTTTTTGTTGGTTTTGCCTCTTTCAAAAAGGGAAGCGAAACAGGGGATTGTTTATTGAGGCAGATCTGGAACGGCGAATGCCATTGGTGGGAACGAGGAAAACATGCCTCCCACACACATCCTCGTCCTTCATGCTATGCCAATTGCCAGGGACACTACTAAACCCCGCGACATCTTGGATTACCTAGCAATTAACGAAGTGTGTTTTTTAAAGATGCTCCTCTGACACAAGAATATTAGCATGTACTATTAAAATGAGGATGCTGTTTATAAATGGCTTGTGGCGAAAGAAAAGGAACGTGTCACGACTCACGAGGTCGCTTTATTCAGGCCCCTACTTACTTTGAAACTCGGCCCGATTTATCTACTAGTCCAGGCACAATGATATATTTTGAGCTCTAAGATTAATTAATTAATTTTAGACTACCGTATTAACGCATAAGGTCAGATCACGAAGTCATTACTCATCTTTGGGCTTGCGTATTAGGCGGTGCAAGGCGGTAAAAGTAAAATGACTGGAGTAGGCTTGGTGTTGTGGGGTTAAAAGAGGGTAAGAATTGAATTGAGAGAGGAATATTAAAAAAAATAGATGGATGAAGAGAGGGGAAAAAGAGCACGTGATGTTTGAATGTTGGGAGCACAGAAAAGGGGAGGCCACATACGAAAGCAGTGCCACCATGTGATCTCATCATTTTAAATGTCCCTTTCACCAGCCTACGTGCCACCATGTCATCCTCCATCTGCCATCTCCTACTACTTCTTTTGTCCCCACTTTGTTTTTTTTTCCTCCAAAGCTTGGATGAGTAAATAATACTTTAGGGACCTTAATATAGAATTTAATTATTAAATTAGTTTTGATTCTAAATATAAGACTCATTTATTATTTTTTTAAATTATCTCTATAGATACTCTTTAACTATAACCAAGTAGAAGAAGAAGATGGAGTATTAAGAAAGATGATTATGGTATTTTAGAAAAACGTGTCACATTTTTTATAATTAATTAATTTACCTGACTTTTTTAATCTAATTAAATTAATTAAATAGATATTATATTAAGAAGAAGTATTGTCTTAAGTATTATCCAGCACTAGATATGAGCAACCTCCCAAATTCAAACCCTAGTTTGTTTCTTTTTGTCTCCGCGTTTTTATATACAGAAAAGAAAAACAAATTTTCTTCACGTGATCTACTCTGTCAGGAGGTTAACGCTGTCTGTTGATTTTTGTTTTTAAATTAAAAAGATCCGAATTACTTCATGCTTGCAAGTGGAGAGCTTACTCTCTGTGACGGTCAGATGAATTGAATAATAATTTCGCTGAGTATAAATTTCAAAACATTTGGGAAAAACTCATTTGTATTTGGAAAAAAGACAGAAAAATGCAACTTTAACTCCATAATCCTAAAAACGTCAAGCCAATTTTAGAAATCTCATTTTGGTACCATGAGACCAAATTGGGATTATTATGTGAAAAGAAAAGACCAAATTACCCTTCATTTTAAATATTACTTTTAAAATACCACAGTCCCTACTGGCCGGCCGGTCACCGAAGCTCCAGCCGCGGCGGTCACCGGAGCTCCGGCGACCGGAAACAATTGGTCATCGGAGCTCCGTCGGTTTGAAATTTTTTTTTTGAACATTTTTACAACTTCAATATAACTGTTAACAACTTTTGTAATGTTAGTGACAACTTCAGTATAGCAATTAACAACAGCTTTTCTGGAAAATTCAACAAACTCTGGCGACCAGAAATAATTTTTTTGAAAATTTTTACAACTTCAATATAACCGTTAACAACTTTTGTAACGCTATTAACAACTTCAATATAGCAATTAACAACAGGTTTTTGAGTTTGTTAAAAGCATTACTAAAGTTATAAAAGTTGTTAACCTGTTGTTAACTGATATAATAAAGTTGTTAATAGCGTTACAAAAGTTGTTAACGTTTATATTGGAGTTGTAAAAATTTTCAAAAAAATTGTTTCCGGTCACCGGAGTTTGTTGAATTATCCAGAAAAGCTGTTATTAATTGCTATACTGAAGTTGTTAATAGAGTTACAAAAGTTGTTAACGGTTATATTGAAGTTGTAAGAATTTTCAAAAAAATTGTTTTCAGTCGCCGGAGTTTGTTGAATTTTCCAGAAAAACTGTTGTTAATTGCTATACTGAAGTTGTTAATAGCGTTACAAAAGTTGTTAACGGTTATATTGAAGTTGTAAAAATTTTCAAAAAAATTGTTTCCGGTCGCCGGAGTTTGTTAAATTTCCCAGAAAAGCTATTGTTAATTGTTATACTGAAATTGTTAATAGCATTACAAAAGTTGTTAACCGTTATATTGAAGTTGTAAAAATTTTCAAAAAAAAAAATTTCCAACCGACGGAGCTCCGATGACCAATTGTCGACCGGTCGCTGGAGCTCCGGTGACCGGCCGGCCAGTAGGGGCTGTGATATTTTAAAAATAATATTTAAAATGAAGGGCAATTTAGTCTTTTCCTTTCATATAATAATCCCAATTTGGTCTCATGGTACCAAAATGGGATTTCTGAAATTGGCCAAACGTTTTTGGGATTATGGAGTTAAAGTTGGATTTTTCTGTCTTTTTCCCTTTGTATTTGACGCACCAGTAAATTTAAACTAATTCTTATTATATCAAATTTTGCACGAATGCATAATAATGTTTATTATTTACAATATATTATACTGTTTTATCTGATCGAGCATGTGAATGAAATGTCATTGTGATTTTTCCATGTCACGTTCCTTTTTTATTACTGGTTTGTATAAAATCATATTTATGGAGATCCGAGTCTAAATTGATGAGGGACACTTTACAACTCATGGGATGCATCTTTATGTCACGTTATGACAAGTAAAGAATCGAGGGTAGGATCATATATACATATATATATATATGTGTGCATAACAAGTGAACCATAATTAATGGCTTTGATTCATGCCTATATGCTAAAAAGGAAGCGCGGCTTCATTTATTCACGTTCGTTTTGACCGCATGACAATTCAAAAATCAGCATAAAACAGAGTACGAATAAAGAAATAAAAATTATTAATGTTAGCTTTGAGATGAGTGGCGTTTATAATGTTTTTGAGTAACCTCCTCAACAAGCAAGGAGTTTGTTGTACAGGGAAGTTGTGGGGATTGCTTACCCACAAAATATTTTGGGGTAATGAGATGGGCATAGGCCCTAAATATTACTCCCTCCGTTTCTTATTATAAGAGACATTTGATGTTTATAACATGTTTTTATATATAAGAGACACTTAAAAGTTGTCTCTATTTTTTTGTGTTGATTTCCTATTTTACTCATATTTATTGTCTTCAACTCACACTCTCTCTCCTTCCCACTTCTCTTTCTTTTAATAATTTACCATTGTTCTCTCTCATGCTCTCTCCTTATTAATGAGGGTATTTTTGAAAAAAAAATTATACTTTTTACACATTAATTGTTCTTAACTAATTTTAACTGTTTTTTTTATTAACGTAATTTGGTTATTCGTCTCTTATAATAAAGAACGGAGGGAGTAGCAAAAAAGGAAAGAAAGAAAAATTCCCCGGGGCTGATGATCCATGGGAAGTCCAGGGGAAAATAGGTCAAATGATTCAAATATTGGGGCAGAATGAACGAATTCATAATCTGAAATTTTTATTCCGTATTTTTTTCTTTTATATTCTGCAAATAAATCATTTTATTTTACGAGCCATCGCATCGGGCCCCTCTTTGACCGATGTACTCAAAGTCTAAGACAAGACTCGATAAAAGGCTATCTTCATTAATGATTATAAAAAAAGAAGAGCTACTGTTTTCTTCCCCCATGTAGGTTAAAGGCTATTCGCTGTGGAGACTGAGAATGATATTTAAAAAAAGAAAAGAAATAGACGTGGAAAATAAGCTACTGTCTTTAAACAAAATAGAAGAAGCAGAGGAAAGGCACGAGGCAAAGGGACAGTTGTACCACGGAGCATTTGGGGAGAGCTGCCACTCTTCCCACTCATCCAAACTGGCTAGCCAATCATACAACGTTAAAAAGGTTGGACACCCCTATCAAAAAAAAAAGAGACTTGATTTTTCAAATCATCGCAGCGTTTGGGAAGATACATTCACAGCCAAATAAAGTCGGAGTATTACCAAGACGAGGATTAACTGAGTGCATGCACATTCTTACTTGGGTCAGTCTCGGTAAATTATGAATTAGATTCCCTACCTTAAACTTGTCAGTGAGCCCGCTCTCTTACCCAACATTTTGTCGCAAAAAAAAAGGGGCTTGGAATTTTCTCCCCTCTATGGGCTGTGAAGTGTGAACCCATTCGTCCTCCACCCTTCCTATTTCCTTATTTCTATTTTTTTTCAAACTTTTCATGACCTCACATTTTAACTACACTTACCATTCTTAAATACTACATTTTCTTCTTAGTATAAAAGTTAGTTTAACTTTTAATGTGATTCTAAATACAAAACCTCAATCCATTTTATTTTTTATATTTATTTTTTTTAAAATAGTCTTTATAGCAGTTACATATGTTAAATGTCTCATTAAATAGTAATTGTAGCTAATACACCTGATTAACAAGGATATTTTAAGGCGACAATATTTATTTATTACAAATATCTAACTTAATTAATTTTTTAAATCTACTCAAATTAATTAACTAGCTCTTATATTAAGGATACGAGATAGTATTCTTTTGTTCTCCAAAAATATCAATTAGTTTCCACTATCATTTTTGTGCTGCACTCAGATTTAACGGTGCAAAGTAACGACACCTTTCTTTTAAAAAAAAAGAAAGAAAAGAAACGGAATAAGAGATTATTCGGATTTCAAAATACATTATTAAGATCCTAATTTAAAAGAATAAAGTCATTTTAATTTACTGAGAAAAGGGGAGAGATTAGGATGTCTTCTCAGTTGATTTCAAGTACTTTGCCTGGTCTAGAAATATAATAACTAGCGACAGTGAACGTTACCAAATGTAGAGTATATGATTCGACTCATTCAGCATTGGGCTTGAAATGGGCCCAAACATTTTACTGAGGTCTATATTCAAGGCCCAACTTCTGACTTCTTTCGCTAAAAGAAGTAAAGAACTTGTCGGTCAAGAACCTTTCCAAGGTTGAAGATGCAACGTAGAGAAAGAAATGAGAGAGGATGAATGGCATTGGTGGAAAAAACGGCAGCATGCATGCACTGACACTGAACCCACACTCCAAAGTCATAAACCGTTAGCCAATCATTGTCAGCGACGCATGAAACCACGTCTTCTCACGACCTTCACAGATCCCATCACAACAACGAAAAGCCTTCATTTATATGTGGTTGATAGCTCCATTCAGCTTTCCTTCCTCCAATTTATAGAATTGTAAGAGAAAGATCAATCACAAGGATGGGTTGGCTTGCTCGACTGTTGGCGGGGCTTGCTTTGTTGGCCGCCGGAGTTTTATTCTCTCCTCAGACCCTTCGATCGGGGTCCGACGCTCGTATTTCCGTCAAACTTTCCACCTACCTCAGGCTGGCACATCTCCTCAGCTTCTCTGCCGCCTTTGGCACCGTTCTTTGGGTCACCTTCATCGGCGGCATCATCATGTTCAAGTACTCAATCTTTTTTCTCTTCCTTCCAATTTCCTTCCCCCTTCGTCGTCGGTTGTGTTTATGCTATTAGACTGAAACAATCTTCTTAGCCTATTCATGAATGAATTCATAGTCAACAAGTATCACATTTTCACTGAAAATTTAGGCTCTTTACGGCAGAGGTTTTATTTCTTATAGAGACGATAATCAGGCCGGCTAATTATTTTACAACAGAACCGTTTAAAAAGAAGAAGAAAATTCATGTCAGAAATTTATCATGGGTCCGTGAGTTGTTTGCTTTTCTCTACTCAGCGAGTGCTAATGTGGGAGAATAAAGTGTTTAGTTTGTATTTAGGAATTTGCCGAGGCATCAGTTTGGGAACCTTCAAAGCAAGATGTTTCCTGCATACTTCTCAACGGTTGCTATCTGTTGCGCCATATCTGTTGCCTCCTTCGGCTATCAACATCCCTGGAAATCTTCATCCTCTGCTGAAAGATACCAACTTGGCTTCTTGCTATCTTCCTTGGCATTCAGCCTCACAAACTTGTTTGTCTTTACGCCCATCACTATTGAGGTGAGTTCTCTTTTATTTTCCTTTTAGCCACTCATCAAATTCTTTTAATAATATTTTTTCAATCTATAATTTTTTTTCCCCACCATTTCATTTGTATGGGAAATTCATTCGACCCGTCCTCTTCTATTTGTAGCTTTCTCCCTGCATTGTGTTTTGCTTAGAATCTAATAAAGACCAATTGGGTTTTTAATCCGGCCGGTTTTATTTTAGAATTTCTCACGCTCGGACAATCCCAGTCACAGCCAATCAGAAACCAATAGATGCTTTTATCCGAAAAACTGTATAAAGATGAAATAAATTTTCCGTGAAACTGAGGTTGTAATAATTACTTACTTAGAGAGCAGAGTATTGATTTTAATGCCGTTATTTATGTATTCGGCGATGCAGATGATGAGGCAAAGGCACAAGGTGGAGAGAGAAAACAATATCGGGGATGAAGTTGGGGACTCCAAGAATGAGGAAGTGGCCAAAGCAAATCCAAGGCTTGCAGCCATGAATAGGAAGTTTGGGATGATCCATGGATTATCTTCCCTTTCCAACATTATGACTTTTGGTGGCCTGGCATTTCACTCTTGTTACTTGGCTGCCAAGATTGACCTCTGATTTATCAGTTATTCTCCTATCCCGTCCACACCGTTTGTTATCCTTTATTATTCACTTAGGTTGTTGGGGGGCCAGGTATGGTTAAATCTATATATGTCAGCAATCAATAAAAATATAAAATTGTGTGTGTGATGAACAAGTGAAATTAGTGTCATATTAAAGTGTTACGTACACATGTTTAATTATTATCAACAATTCGGGGGGAAAAAAAACGTTTCTACTCATTCGGCCCAATTAGTTTTGCAGATTGGAAATAATAAAGAATAATCTACAGTCTCTGGCGCTAAACAAGTAGCTCACTCCATCCGATACACTATTACGTACGTACTCCGAAGTGATGAATTTTATAACCTAGTGGAACCCAATGAGGTTGTATGCTCCCAATACTAACATTCGTGCAGGGAATGAAATCACCATGAACAAATGCATATGTTGTGACGCAATTATCCTATAGAACCTTTTCCATGATCCTTCCCCTGTCCGTAAGGCGCCGGAGAAAGTGGACGCGTCTTGGATAGCATTGACCGATTCCGTCAACCTCCCGCTAATTGTGCCGGCATCAATTCTACTAGGGGGAGCCATCGGCGGCCACCATGCGCTCCGTCGGTGCCATCTTCTTACCTTATGATGACTCTCAAATTCCCGACACATCACAGTTCTCACAGCTTTTAGATACGACTTCATGTCATGGTCTCTTATTATGGTTCCTCCGGAGCCATAAGCAGATCGCTCAGTTAAGATCTCAAGTGGATGAGGTGAGTTCAAGAATGCCAGTTGAGCAGCTTGAAGTTGCTTTCTTGACTGACTGCTATCAGAAAAATGACCCCTCAAAACATACAGACCATTTCCTGGGGGAAGGAGGTGATGGTGTGGGGAAAATTTGTCGTCTGGTTGTAGTATTAGAAATTCACCCATCGGTGCATATAATATTTTCTGCATTAAAAATCACGTATGAGTAATCGGGAGACTCAGAGAGAAGCAGTTTGAATTCCTTGTTCAGTTTTCAGTTCTGCCTCTTGAATAGTGGAGTTTTACCTGGTTATTGAGACAGGAATGATTCCGAAAGTTTTCATTAAGAGCCTTCAGTAGCTCTGCAAGGCGACAAGGGTAATTGCACGAAAAGGCTCGTGAAACTATGTCTCTGTGCAATGTAATTGCCTGAACATGACTTCGCGGTAATTCAAGCTTGTCCAGCAGATAATCCCCTCCACACATGATAAACGGAGCACCAAATGTTATTACTGGAAGCAGAGAGGAGGGCGGTACTTCCTTTCTGATCAGCAGCATGAGATTTACAAGTAATGCCAAGCTTCCCCCAAGGGAATGCCCCGTGAAACGAAATTTTGCAAAAGAACCACGAGATTTTAGGTGATCATGCACTTCTGGTAACATCTGTTGATAAATACCTTTAGCAGCCTCGTATATACCTCTGTGCACAAGGACATCGAACCCCTGAGAAACATTAATGTTAACTTGTTTGTACATTTTAGAATATATATTACAAATGGGGAACAACAAGAGTTATGTATTAGGAAACCTCGAAAAGGTGAAGAAGGGGTTGGTCTTTAGAATAGGAAATTACCTCGAATTGAATAGGCTCAAAAAGAATGTTTGCTTGCCAGGATGCTAGTGACTCAGAACCCTGCGAGTTGAATATAAATTCAATTATGACAAAGAATACCCATAATATACCCTAACTTCGTGGTGCATTAACCCAGCCCCATGAGTGTGAAGCATAACCCATAAACAAGTGGTCTGCCATCATGATTTCACTCTCCAAATTTCCAGTGGTTTTTATAAGACCAATTAAATAGCTGACAGTTGCTAAAAACAACTACATAGCAAAATGTTAACATATATCTTGCCATTATTCCCACTACCTGGACAACAAAAAATCTAATACCACTCTGGTCATCATCGCATGTATACCATTCACAAGGTGACGAAGAAGTTGAGTTCAAATCATCTGCAACGGCCTGTTTCACCTCCTCTTTCCCAGCAACCACTTCTTTCACTGAATCAGTAGTAACCTTCACAGATGATCCTTCTGTATTTAACATATTATCCCCCCCAGTATTGTCACTGATTTCCTCAAGAGAATCACCACCGCCCCCATCTTTTGAGAAATTGGAAGCAGACATGTCCTTGGCCTGGGCATGCACAGTCGAGGGAGCAGTTTGGTAAGCAACAGATGCATTCATCCTATGCTTATTGTTCTCCTCATTTCTTTCTCCGTTGTCCTTCTCATTAGTTTCAACTTCCTGAGGATCAGCCGATGCCTCATTTTTTCCAGTTGTTGCCAGTTTTGTCTTGTCCAGTGATGAAGTTATAAAACGCAGACCGCAACATCTCAAGAGGTTCTCTGGCTGAAATAACAAATCCCACAACACAAAATTACTGTAACGTGCTTTGCATGGAAACTTATAAAACCATTTCATGGCATTTGCAAAGAACTAAGAACATATCCGCATCTACTGAGATTTTCATTGTCAAGCTATATGCGCCTGCCAAAAATTAATAAATAAAAGAGTATTCCTGAGTCTCACAAAATTAGTGAAGGCAGAGTAGACCTGATATTCAAATAGCCTATCATTGGAACACTTATAACGTAGCCAATTTACCATTAGCAGAATCATGTCCTACCTTGATTTTGGGTATAGAGTAGGCCAAGTTACCCAGGTATGACAGCTGTGCGTACAATCTGGCTTCAGTTAACGACACCCTCCGAAGCATTCTTGAAAATGAGTCCCTGTCGAATTGAAAATCTTCTTCGTCATCCTCATCAGCCGTACACACAGCACACTCATCATCATCATCATCATCATTATCACCACCACCACCATCATCGCCAGACTCATTTCTTTGATCATCAATCGGACACTTCCCTTCAATTTCCTTGTTACCCACCTCTCCCTTCGTTTGTTTCTCCGTCCACATAGACTTGACGCACAAACTCTGGAAGAACCAGCTTTTGTTTTGATCCTCGGGACCACTCTCGTTGTCCTCGTCAATAGCTTTCTTTTCCACGTTATCCACCAAAACGGCGTTGTCGAAGGCCGGCCTGTTGCCCCTGCTATTCCCACTTCGTCCTGGCCAGAGAGATTTCAGGGGGTATTTAAACGAGAATTTGGGGAATACAGACCTGTGGGATGGTTTTTCCGTTGTGGACCGACCTACCGCGCTTACTTGCGATGGGTGTGAATTCACATCCAATGAGCCCCCTATTAACATGGACGGAACTATCCCAGATATTCCACATCTTAAGCACAGAGTATCCATTCTTGAACCCTTCTCTTCTACGTCTCTGTTTATAAGCAACTTGTTCGTGCTTTATATGCAATGCGGAATCCTTGTGAATTATGCTATAGCCAGAGTTCGAATGGCGTCCAGGTTCCAAACAAATTGACCAGGTTTTTGGTATTCTTTTTTTTTTTTTGGTTGATTACAGGTATTCTGCTTATTCTGTATAAACGCGACCGGGGTAGAGAGAGGGGAGAAGAAATGGAGGGAGAAGGAGAGGGGGCTTTTAAAAGAGTGGTTGAGCAACAAATAAGCTTAGGATTTGTTTGAAATCAAAGGAGGCATGCTTTTCTTAACGAATTCTTTTTTGGTCTTCAATGAACTTGCCTTCTCAATATTATTATTTTTAACCCCGCAAACTAAACTAATTTGCGCTACCTCTAGTATCCAAATTTTCAGATTTAATTGTAGGAAGAATAAAAAAAAAACATTTGAATTTTAAAATTTCAAATAAGTTTTATTTGCTATATTTTAATAACAATTGATAATATTTGAAAAGCAAATTACAACACATTTTTATAGTTATTCTTGATTTAGAATCTTAAAATTTTAAATATTTTTTTTTTGAATTTTGTCTTAATTGTATACGGCAGCACAAAAAATATATATATATATCAAACTCACGCAGATGGGTTCCTCTGGAGAGCAAAATAAAATAAAAGGTGAGTTTTTGAATATAAAATATTGGAGATGTCTTGTGACAGGAGTCTAAATGGTACATAACTGAGGCAGATAAAATTAATTAAGATGAATAGTGAATTACAGTTTATGCAAATAATCTATCCTCGGATTAATCTTACAAACAAAAAAATCATATATCCTATTTACCAATTTTCATTGCCCAGATTTGATATAGTGAGACCCGCTGGAGGCTGGACCCGCACAAAATTGTATTTGTTAATTAAAAAGCATGTTTTTTTTTATATTTGTTTCGGCCAGCCAATACGTTTTACTGATAACAATATAAAAAATCTACTCACAAATTTTCCCCACCCTGCAATGCTGGCGAGTAAAGAAAAAAACGCAACTTACGAATGCGGATTTTTTTTGGGGGGGGGGGGGGGGGAAGATATATACTGCCTCCTACCCTAATTATAGAAGCTCGTTAACGAGGTTAGGATTGGATCATGGATGCGTGTAATGCTGCGTCAAGTGGAGCATTTTAGAGGAAAAATGGGGTTGAACAGGAATTTATTATTCAGGCCTTTTGATCAGGCGGGCTAAAGGCCCAAGGGGGTGAAACGCAGTTGTGGGTCAAGGAGAACCCAATTTACAGCCGACGTCCCCATCGCGGGGCGACTAGAGACCAGCGAGACGCCACTGTGATTTTCAATTCACCTATTGCTGTTCGGAGAATCGCCCTCTCTTCGTGGCTCTTCTAGTTGCCTGATACAAGTTCTTCTTCTTTTGCCCTATTATTACAAGGTAGTATTTCACTTCTACACCTTTACATTTGAGTGCCATCTTGTCTATAAACTTCTGTATTTCCGTGTTCTCTCTGCGGTTCGATAGCGCCTAATCTTCTGTTTTGGAGTTTTTCTATCCCCTCGCGACTCAAGTCTCTGTCAACCCTCTTTTTATTCGTTTTTCCTTCTCCCCGATTGAACTATTTTTCGATGTGTCTCATAATGGGTTCCATCCTCTCGAAAATAAAACTTAATTGAGATATTTGTTTTTGGTTTTATGTTCTTACGCGGCAGAACTTGGGCGCAAATGAGCAGTTCCTCCGCCGGACCCTCGTCAAAAGCAAGAACTGGATCCTCACAGCCCTCTGAAACTTCTTCCAAACGCAAAAGAGGCGTTTTCCAAAAGGAGTGTAAGAATCATTTTGTGAGTTCTTGAAACATTTTAATTTATCTGTACTTTCTATTTTTAACCCTCTTTCTTGTTGCTACAGTGCAACATATGATGTACGGTTTTGGAGATGATCCGAATGTAAGTGTTATTATCGATCATTTTGAATACATATTTATATTAAACTGAAAATACAAGAATTAAGCTATCTGAGAGGGCAAGGGTGTGTGGGATATGGATAGATTGAGGGTTTAAACCTTTTTGGTATAACAAAAAGGAAATGTAAGAATTACTATCCATTATTTATTTGTTTTTTGCCATTGCACAATTAGCCACTGCCTGAAAGTGTAGCACTTATGGAGGACATCGTTGTGGAATATGTTACAGAACTGGTAAGCATTGCCTCAAGGCTTTGTGTATTTGTCTCTGGTTGCTCAATGAATGCCACAAATAAGTTGGTCTTCTTCTTCCTTTTTTGCCCTTCTCTAGGTACACAAAGCCCAAGATATTGGATCGCAGAGAGGAAAGATGTCAGTTGAGGATTTCCTGTATTTGATTCGCAAGGTACCGTTTTTCCCCTCTTTAAGTTTACATGGGAAACTTTTACTTGGAGCATAAAATTATTAAGATATATTTTATTGCATTATATCGTATCCATGACAGAGTTATTTAGAATCCCTTCATAAGACAACACCTTAGTGGACCATGTAGGGTGGGAAAAGGAAGAATTTAATGCAAAAAATGAAAAATCTTCCGTAAACTCTTATATGCACCGAGAACGCTTCTAAGTTTAGAATATTTTTCCTGAGTTCATATTGACTGAAACCTTCTGTTCCGCAAGAAACAAGTTTAGAATTTAAATCTATACTCTTTCAAATTACTGCCCTGAATCTGCTATTCTGATATGTTTATATCAGTAGTAATCAATGGCTTTTTGGCAGTATTTTTACAAAGGCCTACTGCCAATAATCAAAGCTAACACCAAAAAATTCATTAGAACTTAGAAGTATCAATCAATATGTATCAAACTAGATTAACCTCCTGCGGAAATTACAGGGGATACATAAAATGATTAGGAACATTTACACGTGTTTTGGGAATAGCAAGTGACTAACTTCAGAGTTCTGACTTTATTTTTTTGTTTGTTTGAACTAGTCTTGCATTCCTTGACACAACGGTGCCTTCCATGTAACCAAAATTGACATAAATTGTCCTTATCGTTAATGGAGTCATCCTAAGTGGGTTGCTTTAGTTTCTGAATACCTAAGATAGCAATCAAACATAAGCTCAGGAATTGTAAATTCTCTCTGAATTAATAAGTTTCAACCAGGCAAGATACTGATCTTTGTCTTCATGCATCAAATTCTTTATACGCTGCAGGACTTGCCAAAACTTAATCGCTGTACGGAACTGCTGTCTATGAATGAAGAGCTGAAACAAGCGAGAAAGGTTTTTGAATCAGACGAAGAGAAGCTGAGGAAGGTTTTTGAGGCAGATGAACCCGAATGAGGGTTTTTCAACTACAAAGCATTCTGCCTTTTTCTATTTATTGCGTGAGGCCATAGTGGGTTTTAGCCCTTATTCGCCAAAAGAATTCAGTGACGAAACTTTTGAAATCCTAAAATTGAGTCGCCATCAATGTGTCATCTGTGAAGGAATGGTGAAAAAACCACGGGGAAATTGCAAAATTCTTAATCCGACGCATTACGAAGGATGTGTAAATAAGCCCAGGATGACTTCTTTTTTTTTTTGGCACAAGTCTTTCACTTGTATCTTTATACTTGTTATTTAATAATTTATATTATTTTTCAAAGAGAAGCACCAGGGTCATTCAATACCTATCTCTCAAATTATTTTTTAATCGAATTTCATCGCCAAATGAAGCCAGTACTCCTTTTTCCTTTTTGCGCATTCCGTTTGCTTTTTACTAACTCTTTCGGATTTCCTTGTCAAGCATAAACGAACAAACGTGGTTTCAATGATTACATTATCATTTTGCTACGATGAGAGCTCTGGCCAAAAATCAGGGGGAAATTGAAATGGGCGAGATGTTTCCCAAAATATAAAATGAGAGTCTGACAAGAATGTGTTATTCACACGTAAATGATTTCGGACTTGAAAGACGACTTCAAGGATAAGATATTTTAATCTGCGTTACATATTCCTTGCTCCCTGGTAAAGGGAAAGATGACACAAATATGCCACGACTCAGGAAGGCAAGGGTTTCAACAAGCGCATTGATTAAAATGGAAAAATATACACCTATTTTTCAACTAACAAAAAAGGGGAATCCCGTGGCTTTCATTCTCTGAGAACCTAATAATGTTAGGTTGAGGACATGTTGGACTATTTAACCTGGGCTTTGGGCACTAACCCAGAACTGATTTTATCTGTGTTTTCTGCTCCTCTGTCAGGGTCCTGGGGAAAAGAACCTCAAAAGTTACGTACAGATCCCCTTTCTTGTTGCTCATATGCAACGGCATGCCCTCCCCTTTGAACTTCCTAACTTCCTTGGGCTTTGTAATTCCCTGACGAGTCAAAAATAGTCCATCAGATGTGTGCTTGTTAATCCTTTTGAACACCAATTATGATATGCAAGGACGATATGCTCACCTTTGAACCGATGTCCACCAGATGTTCATCCAGGTGTTTAATGGTCTTCTCAAAACCAACAAGCGCTTGAACCTGAAGGAAATAAAAAGCTGAAGTTTGAACCCTAACACTTTATAATGCCAATAGAGACATATGGTGGTAACATGCTCGTTAAGAAACGTGTCTTAGTTCAACGCTGTGCTTATTAATTGTTACTACTTAGTACACGCCTCGACTGTGGTCAGTATAGTCCAGTTACATTAACTACACAATCATAATTTGATACCCATATCAATGAATGCGAAATGTTTACCAGACTTATAGTAACAGTGGTGTGCAAGTCATTGCCCTCCCTTCTAAAGAGGTCATGAGGTGCTGTCCGGATGCGAAACTAAAAAAATAAAGTACCAAGCATTAGTAAACGTGACATTGATACATAACAAACGCCAAAACAAATACAAAATGACTCAGTTACTAACCCTCAAATCCCCCGCTTCACCGTCCACTTTGGGCTCACCATCTTCATAAAACAGAACCTCCTGTGAAAAGTAAGGAATTTGTTACCATACATGACCAATAGTCAATGCAATCTAAAATATGAAACATACTATTATTAAATTTCCTTAACTATGATTCATATACATCAGTTTTTTCTTTGAATTAATAAAGTACACAGGAGGAGTGAGAGCAATTCTATTTTCACATGCCATGACATAGAATTGGATCATAGGCGTCATTGTATTCAGAGTTCAGACGCATTTTTGGAGTTCATACTTAGAGCACACAGTTATTATGAAAGAATATCTGAGTTAATGGCCATCTATGCTAATGCTTTGCAAATCGTAACAACCCTGACTTCACCAAAATCACAGGAACTAAGACTCCACACACAGATACAGTAACAACAAACATGATGCACAAACAAACAAATGCCATCTGAGAGAAGTTGTCTCTCTACTAGGCCCAAATTCTCTCCTTCTCTTGTTTTTGTTTCACCCCTAACAACATGTTATTGACTACTTTTGACATTATTATTTCTCCCTCCTTCATAATTACAGCCTTTCCCTCCTTAGTCTCCTATGATCTGTTTTGGCTGGCATGGGTGGGTCGGGTCCCAAGAGACAACTATATAATATTGTGTACGATTATTTAAGCTCATATTGGGAGACACTGAACGCTTACCTCTCCATCTTGCATGCCTTTCTCGATATCAACAGTGATGAAATACCCCTCCCTTTCATATTTGACATTGGGACATTGCTCACAAACCTGGACAGGAAAACACAGAATATTGGGTCAAAAGCCTCCAGGTACATCAACAACAGAAATAAGACAAACCTGCACAGTACCCTAACCATTGCTGGAGTACTATGGCACAGAATACACATCCACAAGGGAAAAGAAACATATAAACATAACCTTGCATTCCTTCAACATTCCTAGCGATGATGATTACCTGCTCTGTCATCTGTTGAAACATCCCAGGACCAATTTGTCTGTGGTAAACCTCATTTCTGCAGTTACAGCGTCTCTTTCCAGGTGCTGGCTTTAAAACGTTCTTCTCCCTCCAAACCTGACATTTGCAATGAAAATACCATACACAGAATAAAACCACTAAATAATGCCTAGACAGAAAATTCAAACTTCAAGCAAAAAACAGGACATAAAATCTTTGGCAAAATACATTAATATACCACAAAAATTGATGATTACTGCAATATTTCCCAAACATGCCTGGCTAGTGGCCAAAGCATTGATCAGTAAAGTATTTGGTTACATGATGCAGGGGCTAAGATGGATGAGCGTGGGGACAAATGGCCAATGCAGAATATGATCCAGGCGAATCAGATATTTAATGGGGTGTGAAACACATGTATCAAAATACCGGAATATATTACAATACAGAAGTTTCAAATTAGTTCTGTTTGTTACTGTCATTGGATCCTGTCATTGAATCTAGCCTTGCTGTTGCCATTTTGTCATATAAAAACCAATCTGATAATTCCAATTTCAAAATTTCATAGCGATCAAATCCCCAGCACAAAATGATACAGAATTAAACAAGGTATGATAAGCTCAATAGCCTAATTCTGCCTGATAGGTAAAACTTCACAGTAGACATATAGTTTTGTTCCCCGTACTTAAAACATCAGATAGAAATAAACTTACTTTCAATGTACCTCCCATGTACAAATCTTCCAGAGATGCATCCAATTCGATAATGACATCATCACCTTTCGGAATTTTCTCTTCTTCCTCCTCCATTGAACCTCCACCAAAGAAACTGAAAGAAGCGGTCAGGGTTACCGATGAAAGAAGTGGTCATTGTTACAAAATTTCAATAAATAGAAGTCTTGCTATACAAACAAAAGATCAACAATTATATCCAATTGGCTAAAGTTCACCATGTCAGACGAACAGACGAAGACGTTGTAGTAAGTAGGATACTCGTAATACTATCCCTCTATTAACGATCTGGCGTGTTAGATAATGTGAAGTTCAAGAATAAAACACAAAAATGACATTCCTTGCGATGGGGAAAAAAAATTAGTCGAGAAAGAATTCGAGCACCACGTGATAAGAAGTACTCTTAAATGCGCCTCACACCAAACAATGCTTATAGTCAAGGTAAACAAGAACTTACGAGCTAAATATGTCTTGGATGTTCATCCCCATTCCACCTCCTCTGCCTCCACTAGCAGCATGCTGTTTCAGACCCTCTTCACCGTACCTGTCATAGATTTTTCGCTTCTCGCCATCCGACAATACTTCATAAGCTGTCAGCCATCAAAAACCATGCAACCCCAAACCGAAGACAAAGTACGTCAAAACCATGTTTGCCAAAAGGGGGGGGGGGAAAATCCGTTAACACCCAAATAAATGTTAATCAAGCCCATAAAATCAACTAAAGAATCGGATATACCATTGTTGATCTCAGCAAATCTCTTATTAGCTTCTTCATTTCCTGGATTTTTATCGGGATGGTACTTCAACGCCAGCTTCCTATACGCCCTCTTTATCTGCTCGTCCGACGCGCCCTTCGGCACTTGAAGTATATCGTAATAGGTCTTTCTACAAAAGGTCGAAAAGTAAGATAAGGTGAAGTCCAATAGTTTGTATTGTTAAGGATCAGAGCATTTTGGAGGAGAGCAAATGGATAAAAGAAGAGTGGGGAGTAACGATACCCGGCAATGGCATTGAGGAAATAGCAGAAAGCACATAAAAAGAACAACAGCTTAGCACTTCGATGCGCCATGAACGTTTAGGGAAGTAGAGAGATCACGGGAGAGTTGGATCTCTCCGAGCGGAAAAAAAAAATTAGGACTCTCGTATCAGATCTTTAATTTGGAACCAGCTATATTGAGGTTTTCCGATGAAAATCAAATGGCGAATATGCTTCCCTTGAGCTCCAAATTTTCTTCCTTTATCTCTGCTTGTCTCGTTGATTTTACTGTACAGTCTCCGAGTCCAGCTTCCACGAAGTCAGGATGGAAGTGATTACGCCAATGGAATGGAAACGACCCACCCCGCTTTGCAAGAGGGCAACGTGTTCCTCTCCAAACTGACCAATGGCGGTGAGCGTTTTGCAATTCCGACCAATCATAGGACTCCATGTGGAATGTTGCCGTCATTTCCTTTTTGTTTTTCTTTTTTTTTCCCCAAATTTTTCATCGTTTCCGCTTTCCCCCTGGATCCGGCTTGCGGGTTACGGCATGACTCTTTTTTTTTTTTTTTTTTGGCTTTTTTCTGGTAACGTAACAACTTGAGGGTCCATGGCCAACGAAAACTAGCACGTTTCGTTTCAGGTTGACCCACGCATTTGGAGTTATCATTGGGCGGTCCAAGTGCGACAAGAAGAGACTTGGATCGTTAAATTCGATGATTAATCAATCTACCTCATCTGTTGCCATGCAAATAACAAGCTGCATGCCAGTTTATGGGAAAAGGGTTCATTCCCTCTGCTCCTGAATATAAAATAATCTCACAGAAAAAGAATACAATGATCTCGTCTAGGGCTGTATATGAGTAGGATAGACACTTACCTGATACTTAGCCTGAAGAATAAATGGGTTGGAAAATATAGTCGGTTGTCCGGTCCAGTCCATGAAAAGTCCTAGTAAGTTTGAGCTCGGCAGGACAGGTTTTTATGTCCAATAAGTCAATATACTATATTAATAAATTAATTAATTATGTCCCTCTAAATAATCTAATATAACTTTATGTTAAAATGACAACTTGGCTTTAATTTAGTTATTACTAGTTAATAGACTATGAAGCTATATTTTATAACGGCTAAGAGTAGTAGATTATGACAAAAAAATGTTGTTAGTATATTTTATTATACTTAATTGCTTTTCTAGTTTCTAAAACTTCTTAACCAGATATTAATATCTTTTTTTTTCTATAACTCCCAAATACTCATAAGATGATGGAATCAGTTATATTTAAAAAATCATTGTTTTGGTTTAATAATTTTTAAAGTATCTTGATCAGCTTTTAATTTAATCAAACAAAGAGACAACGGTTTTAGAGAAACAAGAGAAAAAAATAAATTTCAAAAATAACTCGATCATCCTCCATAAGTTATCAAAGTTATGCTCAAAATGAATGATATATACTTACTTATTTACCAATATACAGATTGCCAATGATCATAATGTTTGCATTAAAGAAAAGAATAGTCATACAGATCACAATAAATCATAAGACATTTAACTCTCGAAATCATTCAAAAATAAATAAGTTTAATGAACATTGAGTATTGATGGAAAAATAGGTTTGATTCAGGAGATAAATATGAGGCGAATAAAATATATATAAATAAAATTATACATATTTTTGCGGCCAGGGCCAAATGATGCCTGGCCCAACTTGATAATCTGCCTGACCTGAACATACCCAGTATTTTTTATGGCTTTTTTTTAGGACAGGTTGGGTTTTTTTTACGGGCTTGGACAAGCATAGTGGGCAACCGATCTCTATGAACACCTTTAATCTCGTCCATATTTTTCATAAAAAAAAGGGAATGTTTGGTTAACATAAAAAACACTTTTTTACAGTGTTTTCATGTAACTGGAGATGAAATTTCTCCCACATACTTACTTCGTATATAGTAAAATTATTTTTAAAACCATCATTTGATTTTCACCCAAACATCTCCTTAATTATCGTAACTCTGTTTTGAGCTATGGTTTTAGAGTTTTCCATGTCCTTGTCATTAATCGTTGTCATCACCTTTTTTTTTTTTTAATGTCTTTAAATACAAGTAAAAATAACACAAACATGGTATGAAAAAATAAGATCGGATCAATTTGCATTGATTGTAATGTGTTTCAAACTTGTAAAAATAGATAACTAAGACTTTATATAAGATTTTATTTAACTTTTATTTTGATTATAAATATAAGACCTCAATTCACTTTGTCTCAAATTTATGTATTTTTTTTTCTCAAGAAAGTCCTTCTAACAATAGTAGTTCTAGCTAATACACTTGATTAGTAAGAATATTATAGGAAATACAACACTTATTTATTATAAATAATTAACTTAACTTCTTTTATTAATCTTTTCAAATTAGTCAACTAGTTCTTATAATTAAGATCAGGGGTTGTATAAGATTAGCCATCGCAACCTTAAGCCAAGCCTATTGAGAACTCATTTATACTTGCTTATATTAAATACTCAAATATTTTTATGTGTGTCGAGACAGGATTATTTTACATACCTCGTATTCTCTAGTTATGATTGAAAAGTTATTTTTAATAGATTCAATCATTATTCCAAACAAGTTACACCCTCTCCATAAAAATCTTGGTCAATCGCCAAGGCCGAGGGCTTTTCTTTTCCGCGAGAATGAATCAAAACACAGCAAGAAATAATGGAAGCTGGACATCCCCGTAATCTTGGTCTCTGGGTCGAGATGCCATTTTCGGCACATCATGTGGATGTCACAATGCCACATACCCTTAATCGGCACTTCACTCTTTTTCTCGCGTTCAAGATCCGTCGCCACTGTCCTCTTCCTCGTCCTCAGGATTTTTTTTCTTGGAACACCGAGTGCATTGCGATTCATATGTGGAATTAAGCCCCTAATTCACACACTCTTCAGTAGCATCCCTCGTCTGCGTTGTGATTCAATTAAAAAAAATGCTAAAATGTTTCTTCAAAATCCGAGCTATTGAAAAATTATCGCATGATTACGTCTCACATGTCCACAGGGTAAGACGAGATATTTAATGACATGGCACATTTTTATTGGTTAGAGCATTGTGTTGAGCTCTTGGACCATGCAAGAATTTATCATATAACACCATGATACTTGCTTAAATGCGTCGCCTTCGGGTCGGGTCAGCGGGTTAATGTTGGTGGCATGGTGCCAGGTGTTTGCGGTGACCCGCCAGCGTCCCCACCGGGCCACTCATTCTGTGCCACATCGACAATAGCACGTCACAGTTCAGAGTTCCCCGCTGTTATTCGGATATTGAATAATCGTAAATACACAAACCTCCCGTCCGAGTCTTGATATCACCGAATGAATCAGATCCTGCGACGCTACGAGAACTTACGATTGAAACCGATAGTTCACTACACGAGATTGAGGGTTCCCGCACGTGAGGCCTGATATAAAACAGCAATCGCGGAAGTGTGTTTTGGGATCGCAGCTGTTAAGATGGCCAAATATCAGATCTGGTTAGGCTTGGGAGCTTTTGTTTTGCTGGTCCTAACAGCCTTAGCGGATGACGTCGTTGTACTAACTGAAGAAAACTTCGAGAAGGAAGTCGGGCAGGACAGAGGAGCTCTTGTTGAATTCTACGCCCCCTGGTAGCGCATCATTACTTGTCACAATCCACTTTTCTTCGTTGATCATTAGTAAATAAGTGTTAGGGTTTGTATCATTCCTTAATTTATTTCCAGGTTGATGTTGCTTCGATCGTATGCCTTTCAACGAGTCATTTACCTTTGCTATTTGATTTTGTGGATTTTCTGCTGGATTTCGTAGAAGATATCATAATTTCAAGAGTTTTGACTAATAGCCACCCTTGAAGTTCTCTTGGTTACTAAAAAGCTATGTAACGATACAAGTTATATATTCTAAGCATTTGAGGCAAAATTTCAGAGTTTTGACTCTAGACATTCCATCAATCACCAGTTAGTTCCTTGTGGTAATTTACCGTAATTCTTGTCGTTAACAAATCATTTGAAGCGAGGTCTCTGGATTGTTTAGAAGCTCCGCGAAGTTGGACGCATTCTTAAATGTTTTCCGTTCTTTTGTCTTGATAGGTGTGGACATTGTAAAAAGCTTGCTCCAGAGTATGAAAAGCTGGGTAGCAGCTTCAAGAAAGCCAAATCTGTTTTAATAGGAAAGGTCAGCACCCTGGTGTTTCTCTTCATTCATACCTTTGACAATTATTGCTGGCTCCACATGCTCTAGTTTTATATCTGTCTATCATCCGGAGTTATTGTCTATTTATGACTGTAGGCGTAACTTTATGGTAATGCTCTTCTTATCTTGGAACCTCTTGGTGGTTGTGTAGCATTGCTTGTGATCAGTAGTCTAAGCTGCAACTTCTAAACATAAAGTTATGTGGCGCATAATCTCTTTTTTCATGTCTTGTGCTTTCCAAGGGTGACTCAGGATTCTTATTTCTTCAAAGTTCCCGACGTGACATTTCCTTACTTTCCTTTTCAAATGTGATTGTTGAATAGATCAGTACAGATAAATTTGCATGAGCAAAATAAGGCATTCCCCCCTCCCCTCAAAATGAATCGGTCAACAATGGATGCTTCTCGTCATGTTAAACACTGATACCGTGGCGCTGGTTCTTTGGATTTATAGGGGAAAGGGGGAGGGGATTAGGAAACACTCATAATGAGGGTAATTCCGACTGATTTTAGGGTTGACTTTCCTTATGTGACTGCTGTCTGTACGAGTTTTCTGTCTCTCTTTTTACATTTCTGATTGGAAATTCATTGAGTTCACTTGACAAAACATAATAGCTTTTATTTGCTGTAGGTGGATTGTGATGAGCAGAAGAGTCTATGCAGCAAATATGGGGTTTCTGGATACCCAACTATTCAGTGGTTCCCAAAAGGATCTCTGGAACCCAAAAAGTAAGAAAATGTTTGCTGAATAAAAACAAGAGCACAATTACCTTTTATATCTAAATATGTTTTATCTGTAATTACATATGACATTTCCATCCTTCTTTCTTAATTTAAATTTAGTTTTGGTTCATTTATGCAGGTATGAGGGGCCACGGACTGCAGACTCCCTTGCTGAGTTTGTTAATACAGAAGGAGGTTGTTTCTGTTGTTTGTTGCACTTTAATATTTTTGCAAAGGCAAACACTAGAACAAATTAATGACTTCGAATAACTTCCGAGAAAATCTAGTATTTTGACTTGAGATATAATATTGACCAATCTTCTTAATTATGCTTTTAGATTTCTACTATGGTAGGCTCTCCCAAGACATAGGAGGTTTAGGTTTCATGTCTTCATAATATTGCAGACTGCACATTACTTTTTGAGTTATTATATTTTACGGTTGTTCAGATTATCTATTTGCGGAAGTTAGTGTTGCCTTCACCATGTGCTTCTTAGAAGTAGCAGAATTTTCTGATCAGGAAATTGATTTGCAGGAACCAATGTGAAGATTGCTACACCTCCATCTGACGTAGTTGTTCTGACATCTGACAATTTTGATGAGGTTGTCCTGGATGAAACCAAAGACGTTCTTGTGGAGTTTTATGCGCCATGGTACTCTTCAGCAATTTTCTTATAATTATTTTTGCTTTATTTCCTGTTTTCATTACACAACTTTGGAATGGATTTTTTTTTTCCCCCAAAAATTTAATTAGTCGTCTAGTATCATTTTTGTTTATTTATTGGGAAACTTTCAACTAATTCTAGACCTTATTGTGATTTCATTAGGTGTGGACACTGCAAAAGCCTTGCTCCTGTAAGTGTATATCATTATTGCCTTATTATTATCCTGTATATTTTAACCTCTGCTGGAGCAATAACAGGAAACTTGGTTATTCTTTTTCTCTTCAGACCTACGAAAAGGTTGCCACAGCATTTAAACTGGAAAAAGATGTAGTGATTGCAAATCTGGACGCTGATAAATACAGAGATCTTGCTGAAAAGTGAGTTGAAGTTAGTTGATGGAGGTCAAAAATTGAAAATTATTTTAGCTTAATGTTTAATTGTCTCTTTACAGATATGGTGTTAGTGGGTTCCCTACACTAAAATTCTTCCCTAAGAGCAACAAAGCTGGGGAAGAGTATGAGAGCGGCAGAGACTTGGATGACTTTGTGACTTTCATTAATGAAAAAAGTGGCACACATCGAGATGCAAAAGGACATCTTACTTCTAAAGTTAGTAATTCATACGAGCTAAGAAAAAGCTAGGGTTTTATATCTTTATTTGATATTCTCTGAAAGAGAGGAATGGGGGTGGGGGTGGCTAGGGGATGACAAATGAAGTTGCATTTAATAACTTGCTGATAAATTTGATACTCTGTTTAGGCTGGCATAGTTGAAAGCTTGGATTCCTTGGTAAAGGAGTTTGTGGCTGCAACCGATGAAGAAAAGAAAGTTGTATTTACTAGAATTGAGCAGGAGGTAGACACACTCAAGGGTTCTGCTGCAAGGTACCTTCTCACTATTACAGCTACTTTGTTTCAGAATATTTGGCCCCTCACCTGTCTCCTACAATATTACTTAAGAGTGGCTGCATCTGAACTTCTGCATTTATCTAATGTCTACTGCTTTATCCCTTTACCAAGTAATAATACGTCTGTGATGACTTGCACATATTCAATTAGGTATGGGAAAATTTACTGGAAAGCTGCTAAGAGTACCATGGAGAAAGGTTCTGATTATGCTAAGAATGAAGTCCAGCGCCTACAGCGTTTGCTTGAAAAGGTAATATTCTGACTTTCAAAGGAAGTGGAAGATACACTATTAGGAACATCAAAGCATCTTTTGCATAAACATGCTTCAGTTTCACATCAGTTACTGCGTTCATTTGGTTATTGTACCATCTCACTTATTCAATCACAGTAAATAGTAGGAATTATCTATTTTGTTGCTATATTTGAAGTACTGGCGTAAAAAAAATCGTGAGAAGAGAGAACACAATGTAACAACGGACCAAATATGCTTAAGGTGGTCTTAGATTAATAATGTATTGCCAACATATGGTAGCCCTTGTAAGTTCTTAATCTCTTGTACTGGTTGTTGCAGTCTATCAACCCGGCGAAGGCTGACGAGTTCACTCTCAAGAAGAACATCTTGTCAACATTCGCGTGATGTTCTAATGCAATTCTCAAATACCGACTATCCTTTTTTGTTGGGGATTGGGTGCCTCGCCTCCCGCCTCCTTTCTGGCCATTGGTTACTAATCTTATTTACCCCTAAAATTTTAAGTAGAATAGTTTCTCTCTCTTCCTTTCATTAGTGAACCATTTGCCTTATTGTTAAAAGTGGGTACTTTTTTAGCTGCTTCGTTATTTTGTTTTTTATATTTCATGTTTTGTTATGAACATAGTTCGTTGGTGATCTACGGGATAGAACTGATATATTTCAGACTGAAAAGATGCTGCCTGAATTAGAAATTGAGAATGCTGTTGGATGATGGTTTAAATATGACATGAAGTTGGGTGATGGTAAAATCATTTAACCAATTCATAGGGAGATGTGGGATTGGGAAAGCGTGAACATTAATCACAAGCACAAGTGTTTAATCTTCCTTTGATTTTACCTTTTTTCCCCCGTTTGCGAATATCTTCCTTTGATTATGCGGAGCTATTCTTTGACCAAACATAAATTTTATTTAGGGAGCTTTCGGGAAATAATGAGAACTGAACTCGTCTTTTTCGCGGAATAAACGAAATATCAAACTTATTTCAATTTTACATGTACTTATTCAGGGTATTTTCAAATGGCTTTTGCTATAGAAATCACGTACAGCTAGCGGCAATTAATAATAATCAATTCTTTTTAGGACAAAACAACTTTTTTTATATTGAATCCTTCAACTTTTTCCTTTGATAAAATTTTAATTTTACTTTTATTATAACATTTTACTTTATTATAAAAAACCAATTTTCCCCTCTAAAGATTTAGCTATTTCGCTGATGATATTTAGCACACAAGACGTAAATTTTTTTTTTTTTTGGTAAAGAAATTTTTGGAAAGGGGTTGGACTCACCCACGATCCAAGGGCAGGGCGAAATCTCCCTTCCTCCTAGGTCATACCAATGTTGGGCAGGGCGAGCCGTCAATTACCCTCAGGCGTTTACCTAGGCACCTAAGAGCTAGGATGCCTCCCTAAGCGCCGCGAGTAGAGCCACAACAAAATGGTACTCCCCAAGGATCGAACACATGCCAAGACGTAAATTTTGTTGTTAGAAACATTCGACATTTTTTTGTACAATATATTCAACATTGATAAGTAGACATTCTTCCATATATTTTCTTTCAAAAACTGATCTCTGTGTGAACGCATACACATATCCTGTGTGCCAAAACCACATTTTTTACTAAGCGAATGAAAACGGAAATAAATAGAAGTAATCGATTCAAAATGTAAATGTAAATGTAAATTTGACAAACTAGTCCACAACCGTATTCCGACATACCTTTCATTGCTGCCAAAGACTGGAGCCAACGACATAGGAGTGAGGTTAGAACCCAATGAGCGTGGCAAACTACCGCAGAGCGATGGTTGAGAACAAATCGGCCGCAGCGCTCCAAGGACCCCCCCCCCCCAAAAAAAAAAAAAGAACCGGAAAAAGAAAAGACAAACCGTAATTTTTAAGAGGGAAAACCGAGGGTGCCATAAAACCATAAAACAAGTGTTGGGTAAGATTCAACAATTAACACCAACCTCCTAACCCCCCGAATCGGCCGACTTTGCATTCATATTTAACATATTGCATGGTTTCTCTTGGTTAAACTCAGGCTCCGACATACGCACTGATGGACACTCATCAATTTGATACTCCCTATAGTCTCTATAGTCATCCAGGGACTTCATAAACGGACACGGCCGATCCTCAGGATCACCAGGAGGCTGTGTCCTCATCTGCACAGATCGCAGTAGTGCAGCTCTCCTCAAGTCAGCTGAGTGGCATATATCACTTGGAGATGATGGGAACCGGCCCTCAGAGTCTGAACCCCGTTGACGAGGCTGCGACACAGCAGAGACATGTGAAGCATTTGAACCAGAGGAAGGTGCTGAAGAGAATGTACTGAGTGGTCTTTGGTAACGGTAGGGTGAAACGGGACTTGTGGGGCGGCTCTCGGGTTGAGATGAGCAGCTGTTCGTAGTAGTCTCACAATACCTGGATTCATCCGAGTCCTCTGACATAGGTGAATATTGTAAAGCCATCTCATCTCTGCTAATGAATTTAAAGTTAGTCAAGGACAGAAGCAAAAAGTTGCTGAGGGTTGCAAAGTAAAACAAATTCATTCTATGCAAAAAGATTTAGCAGCTTACAGTTGGCTTTCCATCCAAGGTGTCTATTGGTCTAGCTTACCAGTTAGAGGAAGACACCATGAGAAAGAAAACACAACATGAACCCATTATTAACTTCCACCGTCAGAAAATAGCAAGACACACCTATAGAAGAAAGATCAAGTGATTCCTTCTTTCATGCTGATGTCGGAAATCAAGGTAAACACAAGTCATGTTTGCTAGAAAACTGTATCAAGCTCAACCATAAACCAAAAAAGGTCAAACAGATTTAATGTAGCATATATGGCAACACCGCAACACAATTAGAATATATAGGTCAGATAGGTCAGGAAACATCAGCTTTAAGTTTTTTCCCCCCCTTTTAAAAGACAATAATACATGTTTTTACACCAACAAACATGGGTAAAGACTAAAACCATTCCGCATGATACGGTACCCAAAGCATGGGCTTTAAAGCAAAACAATGTTACTCAACACCAAGCAATGCAGCTTGCTCAGATCCATTCACGTTCCCCAACCGGATCCCCTGTCACTTTAAGCTCACTTATAGGAACACATAAATAATCGTTGATATCTTCTCTATATCCCCTGATCCCTGTCTGATCCCACTCCATGCTACGAGAAATCAGAAATCCATAAACTCCGCATATTCATCACTTACCCTCCCTCTCTCAGCCTATTTTCATCATGTCCTCCGACAACAGACAGAAACTAGAAATTCAAAGAGTTCATAGCTTCTATATAGTTGTAATTAATTCTCAAATCTATTCGCATGAGATGAGTCTGAGTCAAATTCCCCTTCACCATAGCTGAAAAGTTGTTAAAAAGACAAACACAGGCTGCATTTTCAATTGGTATCCTGCTCTATCTAGACTCTATTCAAACTTATCTATCCGTAATTGATATAGCAATTATTCTTCCATATTCATTCTTCTAAAACAGACATTTTCATAGACAAGAGGCCTGCTCAGAATACAACTTGCTATGTGCTCCAAAAATTTATGTTTGAGACACAACATGTGTTCAAGTTGTACTTGTCGCCATTTATGCCTCAAATGAACCCTCGGAGGGGAATTAGGCACACGAGAGGAAGTGATTGACCTTAAAATTAATGGAATTCTCATGATCAAAATGACTGTATTAGAGTTTCTGGCGGCTCCTCGAAAACAAGTCAATTAATGCTTGAATTAGAGTTATGCCGACCTAAACCGCAAGGCCCACAGGCAGTGTTAAGTAGGGTTCTATGGCGCACGAACCTACAAGGTTAGATTTTCTCAGGAGAAAGTCATTTAGTGGATGTGCCAAGGTGAAAATCTAGGTTTCCTTGATGTAATTTATCTACAACCCTTCTGCTGCCTCAGTTAATGCAACACAAAAACCATTTAACAATGCACACAGCTTATAAAAACACAAAACATTATGAAAAGAGGCTAGAACAATAACATTGATTAATATGCAATACTGAAACTGATTATAAATGACTGACTAACAAATAAAAGCTACTGAAATGTATGAAATGCAAATCAGATAAAACTAGATGAGATCCAGATGAAAAATATTATAATCTACAATGCATGATGTTTCTACAGACAAATTCCCCCCAAAGACGCCAAGAAGATATCAAGAATACCATGGCGGCAAATAGTAGGAACCGGTTTAATGACCACATGAACAATAGTCCAAACATTAATGGGGCTCGTTAGTATTCAAAAATGGCCGCCCAAATGCTACACAACTAACTCCAACCGTTCCAATGATTATGCATACTAGCCCAACTGGTAAATGATACTACTATAAGACCAATAGAGATAATTACCTGACAGAGAGCATGCTATCAGACCTGGCGGGAGATTCCAGGAGATTCTCAGGAAGCGAGTCGCCAACAGTCAGTCCGTTTAGACTGGATGCCATTATCTGTACAGAAAAAGAGAAAAGATTAATGCAGCGACTTCTAGTCCCAAACTCTTGCTCATTCACTGTGGCGAATAGCAAAAGAGTTTTGAAAATGGAAAGGGCGACCTCGATTCAAATGACATAAGCACTGAATCAAACAAACAAACGCCAAATTATGGAACAGCCGTCAATTTGCAGTTCTTTTAATTAGTAAGAAAAATAACTGACAGTAATTAAACTATAAATGCAGCCGGCATACATTTTATATAATAATCTGTATGTTAGTAATATATAAAATTGATGAAGCGCCAGCTGCGAAACCTAACAAGACCTAACCTCACTAAGGTAACGCTTGTGAGAATGAAAATTGTCAAGGTAAACCTCCTCTTCAGGATCTCTAGCACGCTTGCTACCAGGCGATGATGTTGAGGGTGATCCAGCCAAATTCGGTTCAGAACCCATCGTTGCGTCTATCTCGTCCAAATTAAGAACTCAGAAGTGACGTTTAAGATTTCCTCTGGGACTAGATGGCTGCAACGTTGAGGAATTCCAAGGTCAATTTTGGCCCAAAACAGACATTTGTCGGGGAAAACCAACGACGGAAAGTGCGAGACACCGAAGCATCGGAGCTTGGCGCCAATGAGCCAGAAAAGTGGGAGCCAGGGAGATGCCCATGTTCTCGTTGGCAGAAGCGAAAGGCGATATCCCTGCCTGACTGACTGGGGACGTGATACTGTTGTTTGTTCGTTTTCCCCTTTTTTTTCCCCCTTTGGTGGACGAGCAAATGGCCCATAAAAGATAGACGGGGTTATGTTCTTTTCTTTTTTTTTTTGCACCAGCGGGATATGTTCGTTCTGATCCTCTGTTTAGCGTCCAGAACTTGTACGAGAATGTCCTGGTTCCCCCAAACGCTTGATTCTTTTCTCGTGATGAAATACTACCTTCAGTCCTAATTATAAGAACTAATTAATTAATTTGAGAGATTAAAAAAAAAATTAAGTTAGTTATTTGTCATAAATAAGTATTGTCTTTCCTAAAACATCTTTGCTAATCAAGTGTATTGGTTAGAACCACTATTGTTAGAAGGACTATCTTGAAAAAAATATATAAATATTAGAGACAAAGTATATTAGGGTCTTATATTTAGAATCAAAATAAAAGTCAAACGAGGTATTATATTAAAAACTGGAGGTAGTAATAAAAAATATATGAATAAGCTTATCGTTGAGATGGTAAATGATCTTGTCCCCATAAAAAAAAAGAAAAAAGAATATGAATTCAAATCCTGAAAAGCACCATTTTCTAAAGCTTTGAAAGGAAAAACTCCTTGATCAAATAAAAAAATAATCATAGTAAAAAATATGAGGTGTTTGAAATTAATTTTATTATTATAATTCATGAAGAGCAATATTCAATATTTTCATATATTATGTTTATATTGATATTTGTATACGTACTACTTTCACCAAACCCCGAGTTTTATCTTATAATCCTGGTTATTTTTAGCGTGTCTAGATTAGATTTTTGCTTTTCAATGCTTTTGTGTGCAAGCGATTCTTTCAGGTCAAAGACAAATTTTTAGACGAACTTGATATCATAAAAGGTTCCAAGGCAGTTGGTTTGAACATATATTATAGTAGTGATACATATGCGGGCTGGAAAGCTCGAAGCCAGGTGGAAAAGAAGATTTATAATAATATTGTAATTGATTATAAACCACTTAAGCATGTTAATGCAAGAAGATAATGCAGAATTTTATTGTGAGAAAGAACCCCTCCAGGCATGCATATGCATTATATGTACGGGGAATTGAAACCGGTCGCCGCCTGCCGGGGAGGAAGAAGCACCTCCCCTGAATACAGGACTCGAACAAAATAACAAGCGTTTGTGTGAAATGGTTTCGTTTCCTCTATAAATAGAACACCAGCAGTAACGCTGTTGCTCGATCGCTGTGGTTGGTTATGCATTCCATATGTCCATCTAATTAATGTGTGGCCAGTACATACAGTGACAATGATACTCTCACAAAACACCCATTCCCTTGTCCTCTCAATGATTTTAATCAGCGCAAAGAATCAAGAAAGAATATTTATTACTATGTCTGGTATTTAATATAAAATATTATTTGATTTTTATTTTAGTTTTAAATATAAAACTCTAATTTACTTTGTCTCTTATATTTATATTTTTTTTTCAAAAACAGTTTTTCTAACAATAGTAGTTCTAGCCAATACATTTGATTAGCAAATATATTTTAGGAAAGACAATATCTATTTAGGGTAAATAACTAACTCAACTTGTTTCTTTAATCTTCTTAAATTAATCAATTAACTTTTATAATTACGATCGAACGAAGTATACAGGAGTCAACGCAATGGAAGACTCATTCAAGGAGAGAGAAAGACGCGGCAAATGAACGGTGATTGGCCCTCACCACGTAAATCTTTTCTCCGGACGAAGTTTGTTTTGCAACTCTCTTGCTCTCCGAATTCTTTGCCTCAAACCCTGTTCATCGTACCTTGTCCCCTGCCTCTTTTACCCTCCACTCCAGAACATTGCTGGGGTGTCAATTCGGTAAATTCCGGTGATACCGCCCATTTTAATACAATGGGAACCAACCATAGTATGCTGACCTGGCCGCCTCCGTATAAATATACAATTTTAGTGATTAAGCAGGGGGCGACAATATCATTTGTTCGCCTAACCTCGTCTCGAGGGTCATCTCTCCCAATTCTCCCCTGCCTCCTGCAGGGAGGGATCCCTTAGTCGCCCCCACTCGCATGCTTCCCCTTCCGTTATTAATGGAGCAGGAGCAGCCTTCCCAAGTTCTGATCCCCGCCCCCAAACTGGACCCACCTCCCCATGACGATCCCACGCCCTGCCCTAAGCCTCCCAGGAAGAAACGTGGCCCTATGTATTTCATCAAGGTGGCCCTCTTCATGATAAGGGGAACTTCCGATAAATCCAAAGGCCTGTCCGCCTCCAATTCCAAAAGCCTGTGGAGGAAGCTCGTGGGTTCCGTCAGACCATTGCACTTACAACTTCAACAGGTGGCGGAATCGGAGGCCAAGCGACCTGTGCCGCCCGCCCTCACCCACCAGTCCCCAGCTCGTAGCGAGTTTAGCGAAGACTCCTTGTTGTCTCCGACGGCCGGAAGCTCCACGTCTGCCTCAGAGACCCCCTACGCGTCGGCGTTGGGCCTGAGCGAGATGGTGCAAGGCGAGCATGAGGAGGAGGCGGTGGACGAGAGTGATTCTGCGTCTGACGACGGGAACGGAGATAAAATGATCGATGCAAAGGCTGAGGAGTTCATTGCTAATTTCTACAATGAAATGAGATTACAGCGCAGGCATTCCATAAACGAGAGGTCTCTACGCTGACGGACATAACGTGGGCGCATGCATGTCTCCGTCTTAATTTCTTTCAATAATGACCTATAACGCATGCATGTGGGCTTCCAGAGGCTCTATCTTCTGCACCATATTCTTGTTTCACTCGGAACCTAATATATTACTTACACCATTACAGTCATAGAATTGATTTGATTGTCCTTTCTTTGTTTTGTGTTAGGTCGGCGAGGGTACGGTCCCTCGTCGATTCAGTTTTCGGTCGTACTTAAAATATCCACGTTATGTTACTGGAGAAATAATGGAGATGGGCAGCAGAGTGGAGTTTCAAGAACGACGTGTCTTAATATTGCATTTGGAATGGAGTGATATGAACTATCCGTTTCCTTTTCCTTTGTATTATTGTTTCTTTAATTTTAATATGAAGCAAAATATTGATGAGGGGAGGTAGTCCCTGTTGCAGGCATGGCCCGTGACGCGAACCGGGCTTTGTAGTAGTGTTTTTTTGTTTTCCTTCCTGCTCTCGTTTTCTGGATTCGATTTGATTTGGTGTAATTTCCAACTTCTCGTTATGATGTAATGTTGAACTCGGGGCTGATGCAATCCCGTAATATTTTCATCTCGAATCTAGTTCCTTACCAGTTAATACACTATATACCGTATTTATGCTGCTGCATTAGAGTTTCGCGTGATTTAAAAATTACAACTCATGCATGTGCAGATACGAATTAAGCGACAAAAGTAAAAAAAATGCTACCAGCTATTGGACCAAAGGAAAAATGGACAACTGGGCTATTTCACATAACATAGGTTACATAAGTAGATCATGGTAAAAGAGGGAGGCCTCATGCTTTAGGCCTAGGCCCGAGGGCAATCTTGGGAAAGGAGAAGCTACATAGGGGCATGTATTCTCACTCTATCTGCCTCCACATGGCTCGAGCTGAACAGTGGAGGATAGTTGAAGATGCAGAAGGATGAATTCAAAGATCGAGAATTCGCAGCTAAATCAAAGCATGCATGGATTAGCTTCCTTGTGCGTCAACTGAACTGATAGAACCATCCCAATCGAACACAAGGATTCCATTCTCGCTTCTTCCATGACGCCTTCAAAAGGATGACCCATGATTTTTGTTCGTGCACGTAACGAGGTTGATTGCTCCTGCACCACCAATAGTAGTTTCAGATTATATGATTTTAGCATCCGTGGAGGACGTGGCAACACTCAATATTCGTTGAAGCTAAGGTAGCTATGACTTGACCTTGTACGGATAAGCGTTTTCCTCGACAGCGTTGAAGCTCAGCCACTTGGCCACACCTGAGCTGGAAGTGGAATCAACATCTTTGTCATCAATCAACAAAATTACTTTTGTTTCTGCTGATGCTTAAGATCACCTCTTAATTAGTCTATTTCTTTTTATCTTTTAGCCAAATTGAGGTATTTTCCAGTTGATTAATAAACAAAAAACGGACATTAATAAAAGGAAAGGGTCTTGGGAAGCCGGCCAGGAGGCACTCCTTGAAAAGGGACTAAAGATCATGAGACTAAACGGCACAGTTTGAAGGGGAAGGAGACGGAGACAAGCTGCTTGTTAATAATCTGCATCCGAGTTATACAACCTTTTTTTTTTTTTTTTTAATGATTAAAAAAGAAGAGACCTTTGGCTTTCGCAAAGGAGCGTGTTCTGCTGTGCTAAGTTAAACCGGATTAGTTAATACAATGTTTTAGCGCAAGAAAAAAGGGGACGTTTTATCTGAACATTTAACCTTTCTGGAGAGCTGAAAATTGGTTCAAACTTCCAACTCACGCTGTCATGAATGCTTGCTTCGCGATGAAAAAAATCACGCGTAAGTAGAAAGTTTTTACCAACTGCCAAGAGCCGCGCAAGAGAATACCTTTCTAAAAATCTAAACATGGAGCCAAAAAATTCCAAGATATTGTTTTCCTGCACCTTTTTGATTGTGACTTATGCCACTGCACTAACACTGTTATTTTGTCTGTTTGAACATGTTACCTTTTATACGGTGTCAACGTGGGGAACAAGGGGATGCACTCTACATACGTATGACGCGAGAGATAGAGTTGGATCTTGCTAATGATTCATAAACTCCACATGTTCATCACTTATAACTCATAGTCCTTGAAACTAAAGGGTTTTATAATTAAAACAAGGATGAGAGATAGATACCACATTCGCACTGTCTTAATCAAGAAAAATAAAATAAGACTGAAATTGTTGGAAGGATGAGTTGCACGGATCCCAAGCCTCTAATCCGAGAGAGACAGCTTTAGATGGACATCAACTTTAACACCCACATCCCTCTGTGGCAGCGAAGCAGTTTTAGAAAAGTGGGGAACATGAGAAACCGATGGTGGTTGTAGGGAGGGCGCGGCATATTGGAACTGAAAAGGGGACGTGGAAGGAGTAGGATAAGGAGAAGCAATCAAAATGGGCGTGGATGGGAAGTGGTTTGTATTGGATTTGAAGAACAAGCGTGGAGGTTGGTGCTTGGTGGCAGTGAAGTGCGGCTGTGGATGCGGTATGAAGCGTCTGTGATCGGTGAGGCTGAGGAAACGCCTGGCTCTTTGGCGCTCTCTCTTGTGGGCATTTTGGTGACCCCCTAACGCTTGTGAGTTTGTGAAGGCTTTCTGGCAATAATGGCACCTGAATTTCCTCTCATCTTCCACTTCATCTCTTCTTTCGCAGATTTCTTCCTGCTCTCTCAGTGAGAAACCGAATAGTTTTGGTGCACTGCGATTATGATCAGGCATGCTTCTATGCCTAGCTAGGTGCCGCTGCACATGCGCTTGGAGTAGCAAAGCTCATGCCCTTATATAGACCGATTAATTATGGGGAAATCTCATTTATTTCACTTGGGTTTTATCTCTATCAAGAAAAACAGAGTGACCACGCACATGTAATTACTCTGCATTATTCTGCCTTGTCACTTTGTGTACGTACCTTTAGAAGTTTAAGTCAAACGTTCGCGATGAATCACATGCAAGTTCTTGCTTTTTCTTGTTTTTTTTTTTTTGGGGTGACCTGGGCTCTTACTTGTTTTAATTAGCAGAAATCAACTTGAATGCGATGAGATTGGAGAAAATTAGAGGCAGAGCTGAAGATGCGCGCGCGCGTGTGTGATTGAGTTTGGAGCAGGCAAAGTTGTCCCCATTTATTTTATGTTTGCCATCTTGGATCGGTAACTGACGATCAAGTGACATAAAGTGGCGTGCTGGCTGGCGTTAGAGACTGAAATATCATTCCTTTGAATTTTGAACTAAACACGTGAATGACTTGTTGTGTCTTGGCTAATATGGTTATCACGATATATGAAAAATGTTATGTGCCCTAGAGTTGATCGCAAAACTGTTGGCAATAAATAAATAAACATTCGAAAAACAAAGGATACTGGATCGACGAGGGTGTCATCACATGACAGAAACATCAACCATGTTGACCGATTAAATGGCACTCCCTCTAATGTTTAATATTGACTTAATATAAGAATTAGTTTAAATTTTAATTTAATTTAGTTATAAATATAATATTATTTTAATTCATTTTGTTTTTTATATTTATTTATTTATTTTAAAGTAATCCTTATAATAGTTGTATATGTTAAAAATCCCATCAAATAATAATTCTAGTTAATGCACATAATTATTAAGGATATTTTAAAGAAAATAACACCTATTGATTACAAATAAATAACTTAACAAAACTTTCTTGATCTATTTAAATTAGTCAATTGACTCTTATAATAAGGACTGGAAGTAGTATAAGAGTTAGGTGTGCAATTTGCAAAAAATAATAAAATTTGTTAAGTTTTTTATTTGTGATAAATTTATATTGTATTGTTTAAGATACTCTTGTTAATTACGATTATTGGAACTACCTATTGATGAAATTACTTCGGGCAAAATAGATAAATATCGGAGATAAAATGAATTGAGATGTTATATTTATGACCAAATCAAATCTTTAATTAACTCTTATATTAAGAATAAAAGATAGTATATAATTAGATGTTATCTGATATTATGGCACTAAATTCGGGTAAAGTCGTGCCTATTGGAAAAAATTTATTCACAAGTTTTAGACCCTTTACCTTAGTAAAAAATAATTAAATCTCTTTCACTACATTATATTAATTATTTTAAATATCTTATAGAGGCAGAAGGGGTCGCGCCCTGAGCCAGAGCCACCTGAGCTAGGCACAGGGAGCCATCGAATTAGAGGCGGGGTGCCTCCTGGTCGTCTATTTATTTTGTGCAATGCCGCTCTTTTTTATAAGAATTTGATAACTAAACTATGTTATTTAAAAAAATAATTAAAAATAATAAATATGTAATTTTTAAAAGTATATCCTTATTTATAAAAAAGTAAATAAGGGAGAGAAATCAAATAATAATGAGAGAAAGTACGAAAGAGGGCGTGGTATACCAAGTTGTCAACCTTTTAATTAATAAAATATATAAAATTAATTAAAAAAAATGATAAAAACATATTAAATGTTTAAAAAGCTCCAATTGGATTCTTATAAAAAAGATCAACCGAATTCAAATTTTAAGCTCTAATGAAAAAAAAGAAGATCATCGACAGTAAAACTAAAATTGCCGATATGCTTTTAACTTTGTCCTGTTCTTATTTCAGTAGACTTCATCTGTGTGTACATATCGATGGGGTCGCTATGTCGCGCGCACATTCATTGAATTCATCAATTTCTAGCAGTCCTTGCTATATAGATCACATGCCTGAACCAAATTGGTCAGTATAGACTCCAGAGGATAAATTAATAACCAATCTTTGTTCCCGGAATATTAAGGGCAAAAGGTTACCGACAGTGATTTCCCAGTCCTGGTGGGCCCCTCTCCTCTGTGAGAGACATCAAAAGAGAGATGTATTTGCAGTTGCACATAGAGGATGATGAAGGGTAGAACATGTAAATCAATGAACGTATACATGAAGTTTTGGTCTGGTTAAGTTGGTAGACAGAATGTGATAAATGGTGGAAGCTAGCTTTGATGGAACAGCTCTCACTCACGCCAAGCAGAGATTACAAGCAGCACACCAGATAAATTGCCTCGGTTCAAAGTATATATAATAATATGCGACAATGATGGCAGAACTATTAGTCGACAAGTATCAACCAGCGTAGCTTTATTTAATATGAGCTATATATGATATATATATATATATATAGAGAGAGAGAGAGAGAGATAAGATACAGGCATATATTCTTTTCTGTCGTCTTACGGGTTTTCATACAAAATCACTGTGATATGGGGATGAGCTTTGGACATACTCCAGCCAACATGTATTTGTGTGGATAATGAGAGTAAGAGAAGCACGTGAAACAGAGAGCTTATACCAACAAAAAGTAAAGAGACGCTAACAAAAACGTAAGTATCGCACACGCAAATGGAGTGCCAATCATAGGAAATGACGGAGAGGAATGAAAAGGTCGACACGTGGTTGTACGTGGGAATGTAAAGGTATACATTAAGTAAACGAGGACGAGATGAGATGGGTGTCGGCCACTAAGACGCGCGTGTTCGGCTCGCATTCTCGGCCCCTCAACGAGGTTTAGACGATGATTACGACTGTGTCTCCGTAGCCTCCCTGTCCTCATTCTCGTTTGCTTTTCTCGATCACTATGTTTTAGGATAAATTAATCTTAACATTGCTGCTCTTCTGCGACCCCTAGTTGTCTATCCAGCCGGGTACTTTTTTTTAGTTACAAAAGTGATCACCGGGTCGGTCAGAGGCATCCTAACTGATGAATCCATCAAGGAGGGTTAATAATTAGGTGTACCTGTGCTGGAAGTGAAGGGTTTTGTTTGTGGGAAGGGGTTCAAATGGGCATCAAACCGTAGGCGAATGATTTGAGGCCATGTGATATAAATGTGCTTTGGGAATTTTGAGAAATATGATGAGCCCCCACCTCTGAAACGGCGTCAAACCTTAGGTCTGTTGAGTTTACTAGTAACTAGTATAGTATGTGTAGTGGATGATTGGGCCCTCTATATTGGGAGTGTATCTCCACCTCCATGCGTGTATCTCCCTTTTCTTTTTGCAGAGGGTGGTATTATTCAAAAGTCCTACCCTAGCCCTCGTAGTATATATGAAATGAAATCTCCCAGATATCAAAGTTATCTTGAATTCTGTATTTTTTCTTTGCTCGTGAATGCTCGGGACATCAAAGTACAGCAAATGCCCCACACCCCCCCCCCATGTTGTTTTCTGAGTTTCGTCTTTTCTTGCACATTTTCAAAAGCTTCCTTCATTACGCTTCGCTCCAACCCCATTCCGCCCCATCATCCCAATCAGTGTTCTGTATATTTCCTTTTCTTTGTAATCTCAACAACATTCAGTGAGACTCATATAATTTATAACTCACTCTGACGTTTTAATAAATAAAAATGATCCTGAAATTTTTACCTGGTTTCGTTTGTGTGTGTACTGTGTAGAGTTGCCAAGGTTTTGAACAATATAAGGCAACAACCGAATCTCATGCTTGCACATTAAGGCAACAATAAAGATGTGCAGTGTCTTTCAGAATATGACAGTTCTTGTTTTATTCTTATTCTTATCATCTTGCCCAGAGTCATGATTACCATCATGCCTCTTCTGCTCTACTAAAATTTTGACACACAAAAAGGTCGCATCTCAGGAAGGATACATCAGATATTTGCCAAATAATTTTCAAAATTTCGTTAGAGAAGATGTGCAGTGTATTAACCGAATGTCATCATCAATTATAACCAGCTCCTTTGATCATTTGTGTCGTTTTATTAATATAGCGGTCGTCTTCTAATCTTGATCATGTTCTGTTGCTTGATAATCCAGTTTATTACGTGCAAGATATAATTCAACTCAGTTGAAATTGCATTTGCACACGAGTGAGATCGATCAAACACAAAATCAAATCACTGAAAACGGGGCAGACATAAAGAAGATTGCAGAATCCTCAAGGATGGCCCACTCGAAGCTTTGATGGACCTTGTAATCTGTAGGTAGGGCAGAAATTCCAAAACATCACACACAAATGATGAAGCAGCGAGAGCTTTTAATACATACGAAGAGATAAGCTTCCATTTTAATTGGAAGGTAAGAAAGGGTTGAGGTCAATATAATACGCTGTTGGGTGCTTTAAAGCTGGCTTTTTGATTGAGCTGCACACTGTGGCTGGCCTTGACATGTTCCTGCAATCATGTACTCTTCTTACTACACGGAATGATGTGATGGACAAGTTGAGAAAACTCTGGTCATGTGTTGGTGTGTTCGTGAGAGAAGGAAGGTTGACAAATCTGGGGAATGGATCTGGAGGGGACGGTGGGGGAAGGATGGTGGTTGAGTAGACCCAATCCTGAATTCATGTGATTTGTATGAAGGGTCAAGACATTAGTACACCCATTATGAGTTTCATATAGGGTCCCTTGTCTTTCTGATGGTTTCTATTACGTTGTACCCTTCATTCTATGATTCTCATGTTCAGTTCCAGCCACAGTTCGCAGCGACGGATTTCATACCACCATGGTTTCATCGTAACGGGACAGAGGATTCCTCGTGTTTTGAAGGCCACAAATGAGAAAAGGCTTCGTGTGAACCGTTATACCGTTTTATAGGAAAATCCTGTAAATGCTCTTAACTAGACAAGATTTCATTTCATGTTCATGAATCGGCCGTGCTTTTTATGAATTCTGAATAATGCAATATGATTTTTTTTCCCTTTTGCTTTAGATTCTATTATATAAAATATTGTTTGTCTTTTAATCATTAATAAAAATTTGAAGGTGTCTTAATCCGCTATCACACTTCAAAAGATTTACCACTCAAAAAACGTGATAACTATGAATATCTATTACTACTAGTGATCCTTAAAAATTAAAAAAGATATGAATATACCACCTCCGGTTTTAATTATAAGATCTCGTTTGTAGTCTAATCATTCATTCCCCGTGCATCACCAAGGAAACAGATAATCTGAAGCTGCGGAAGATAGAGTTCTAGCAAAAATGCTGTATTTTATAAATTTCTTCCCAATATTAATATATAGATATATCATCATAATATGTGAAATCGATAATAGCGCTCACTGCACATATGTAAACTACTGCTTCAGATTTTATTTTAAAAAACACTATCTACATGATGCAGTCCAACGCCTATAATAAATGAATAATAAAATATTAAGAGTGATGGTCCCCTATTAACCTCATGTTTTGCTTAAGTGAAGGACCTCATGATTTAGTACTAGCACCTCTTGCACGCCTAGCGCCCCTCTGGAAGCGGGGACCTATGGTATGTGTGGTTCATCTATTGGCTGTAAATTCCATTCATTCTATACATTTTTTTGGTATTACTTAAAGTATTTCCAAATCACTTTAAGTTTGAGATTAATCTCTATCAGATTGGGAGGTCATTTCGTACAGATTATTCTTGGAATAAAGTGTAAAGTGATTCCATTAGGAGCTTGATGGAATATAATCTCAAAGGCCAATATCATCCCCCAATTGATCAGGGATAAATACTCCTCAATGCAATTACACTAATCGAGAAAACCACGTGGCCTTTTCACTTTGGTCCCTTTATCTAATGTAGTTAGATGTTTGGATAGAATTAAAATCATGATTTTGAAAGTACTTTTACAGCATGCGAAGTAAATATATGGAGGAGTTTATTTCAATTTGTGAAAAAATGCTTTTAACCTTGTACCCAAACACCCCCGAAATTGTAATTTAAAAATTATTTTCTAGTTACAAGATTATTTATTCTTAGTAAGTAAAACTGATTCAATGATTTATTTTTTTTCAAATTGAAGAAACAAAAATTCAATATTTTATTTTTCAATAGGTGTGCAAATTTTTTAAATAATTAAAAAACTGATAAAAATATTTTAATATAGTTTTATATGAAGGGTATTACTATCCAATCAAATAAAAATTTTCATTTTTTCCATCATATATTGGCTTTGTTTCATGTTTCATGCAAGCTACTATAAAACTCTTCTCATATATGTACCTCATATTTTATAAATCACGATTAAAAAATTACTTATAAACCATTCTAAATAGGACTTTAAACTTCCTGATCTCAAGATCTCATCCCACAGTTATTGTTCCCATTAAAAAACGTCATAAACCAAACGAGCCCAAGGTCGAGTTTGGTTACTGGCCTCCTTACCGCGTAGAATGGAATGGCATCAGTTAAACACTACTCCCATTGTTGGTTTGTTAAAAAGAAGAACCGAGATTTATCCGTACAAGCTTCCGAATAATTGTAATGAATAATCTTGACCTGGAGAAACAAGAGAATCCTATACTCAACACATTTTCTGTGATCGTTATATGTGTAACGCACTCTAGAAGTCTAGATGCGTCAAGAACGTTGACAGACAGCTTTCAACTAACAGAGAAGGATCGACGAACGTCACCAAGATTATGTACAGCACAGATTATACACGATTGCAGTGTGTAAATTGAAATATATAATGCTGGTTCCTAGGATAAGATATCTACAAGAAAGTACATATATACACTTCATCATCTTTATAATTTTATGTATATGCCTTTCTTGTGGAGCAAACCGGCACATAGTCCCCAAAATAATATTTCAACTATTACAAAGACCAGGGTACCCCACTTTTCGGAATGGAATATGATCTGTAAAAAAGCTTCCGTGCCGTCAACCTGCATAAAAAATACCCATTTAAGAAAAGCTAACAATCATTCATGTGAAAGTCTTCAAATCACCCTAAAATAATAACGGAAACCCAAACGCCACTTGTCCTGCGACAACTAAATATTTCCATTCCGAAATTTCAGCTTCACTTATTTAATTTGTTTTTGTGACTTTTATCTCTGTGAACAACCTATAGGTCTTAAATTTGTATCATTTGAAGTTCAAAAGTGTATTTCCATGTACAGTTGAAAAGAGATAGACAGTTTCCTGCAGCTAAAATTTTATATAACTAACATCCGAAGATTTCAGTCTCTCTCTTTTCAAATAAGATGGGGAATGACTATTTGGAGTCTGAATCAAGGTCCAGGGGGAGGTGGGAGGTCTGGAAGAAATATTATTGAAGTAGGCAGCACACCTCCAAAGTGGAAGCCATGGGGAGCTCAGAAGGGAAATGTTCACTACTGTTTGGTAAACTAAAAGATTGATTGATCAAGAGTGAAATGTCATCAAGACTCAGGGTCAGTTTGTTTGAACTTTTTTCTTTTTTTAAACAAAGGTGACTTTAGTTGGGGGAATAGTGGGGGTTGGGGGGAGCAAGGAGGAGTTGGGGGAAAAACTTTGAGCTAAATAATTTTTAGTTGATAAGCTAAAAATAAATTATTTCCAACACATCCCGTATTTACCTCGAAGTCCCCCCCGCCCCAACAAAACACTCCCCCAGCTAAGATCATTTAAAACAAACAAACAAACTCCCTCTCGAGAGGTTGTAACAAAAGAACTAACTTATTGTAACAGAAAGCAACAATACCAAATTATTTTTTGGAGTACGCCAATAGAAACCCTGGACAGCTGCTGGGAAAATGTCACAAGCAGCTAGTGCATATACAATAAGAGCATTCATGCCCATCCATTGTAGCACAACTGTAGGTTTTCTGAATTTCTTGATGTCAACCTGCAATAAAATTGTGGCTCAGTAGATTTGCAAAGAAATAAACATTTGAAAGTAATTAATCAAATTTACTATTATTAGTTTTTTACAATCACGCTCAGGCTCGGACTGGCCCCAGGGGATGCTGTTCAAGATGAAGTTATTATCAGTAGTTGATAACTTTTTTTCCCCCTCCATTACTCGTAAGTTGTCACTATTTACCAAACAGAATGATGAACTTACAATGTAATAAACAATTATTAAGATCAAGCCTGATGCTCCCGCGGTGACACACATGTAACTTAATGTGTACAGTGCTTTAGATAAGGGAATTCCTGAAAAAGCCTTGCAGTTGTGAATAAGAGAATAAGACGTATCTTTAGAAAGGAAAATTTTGATGGTACCTGAAATCTCCATAATGTATCCTGTCAGTAATAGAGGGAGGAAAAATGTGGACCAAAGAAATATTCTCTCTCTGTGGCCCTGGAGACAAAAATATGTGTAATTGATATAATCATGATATTGATAAATACAAGACAGACATTATATCTACTAACATACTGGTAGACAGGTATCAAGGGAGGGTACTGAGATGCTAAAAGATTTATAAATTCGCACCTGAAAAAGCACCAGTATGTGTCCAAAATGTAATCCCATAAAACATGTAATGGCAGCCATCAATGAGCTGGAGTAATTAGCAAATATTTTACAACCTTCATATTGAATGACGATTACGACCTTTATATTCATCACCGTATATAGTCTAGACTCTAGCTTTCTGGAAGTCAAAATAGCAAAAATGACCAAATAAAATATACAACCTCAAAATACCCTCTGGGTCAAACGGGGCTAGGCACCATGTGGGTGAATCGGGAGGCAATGGTCCATAGTCAGGTGAATTAACGCTGCACTCCTGAAATAAAATGTAGGTCAATTAGTTGATGAAATGAGTGAAGGAGCTAATAAAGCCAGTTAGCGGGTGCGTCCCAGACAGCAATTTTCATGAGAATAACCTTTGTTCTTCTGTACACTGGACGTTGATACATATGATGTTCACCAAGAATTAATCTATCAACGAAGCCTGCTGCATTGCAAGGAGGTTCAAGACTGCCCCTCACACCACAGTGAACCTTGCAAAGAAGTATTTTGAGTTAAGTTAGTTCCATTTGAAAGTAAATGTATAAACTCACAATAAAAATAAAACACAGAAAGCCAAGCCATCATAATGCTTAGAGCATGGCAAGAAATGCTTATGTACACATTATTTTCAGCATTTAATGGTACAGACTGAGAAATTCATGCCAACTCACAGTTTCAGTAACTGATATATGATCAAGCAAATTCATGTCAGAGAGTTCTAACTTCCAATTTGGAACATAGAGGAGATACAGTAAGCATAGGTAAACAGAGCACAGTAAGATAGAAAACATCCTGCACAAAGAAACGGAAAGTTAGAACCAAGCAATGTTATAAAGGAAAAAAAAATGTTATTTCCCACAGAAGCTTTAGCATCCAAAGTAATAGTTCATAATAAATCAGCACCTGTTTAGCATCCATACATATCTTAGTTAAGCAAGTTTCATCTTAAAATATGTTTCACCACTAACATGTTCATTTAACCGGAGAACTCAAAATATGTTTCAATTTGCAATTCATAGCCAACAAGACAGAATCCGCATCAGAGTTAAATATGAAATCGTCAGGATTGATTCAAAACAACCCGTCCACAAAAACGTAGACTTTTAAACCATAACATAAAAAATGACACAGAAACATGATGCGCATTTTTCAAGTAATAATCAATACAAAATTTCAACTTACTCCCTTTAACGGACATTTTTTTCAAATCGCATGTTCAGTCAAATTGAAGTATAAAACAGAAGAAAAGTGAACTAACCACTGGAAGGAGTATTTCCTCATAAAAGCTGCCGCTGAATCAACTGAGATGTTATGGTTTACTAGCCATATCTCTGATATTGAGACCAAGAAGTATCCAATCGATATCCTCTGAGTAATATAAAAGCAAATTCCGAAATTCACACTAAGGCATAAAAGAAGAGAAAAAAGAAGCGCAAGTATAAAGCTTAAGCAGCAGATAATCCATCATGGGACTACAAATTCAGTAGGTAGATTAAGAACAGAATGAACCCTAATGAGTTTTTCTAATTACATCAATCATCCTGAAACAATGAACCGTCAGTGCAACACAGGTTGGGGGAAAACATCCTTGTAATACAACTTTTCATCACAGAGCACCAAGAATCGACTGTATAATAATCAATAAGGACCAAACTGTGCTAATTGGTCCAGCAATTAAGAGATTTCATTAAGCATATCAAACAGTAATCACTGAATTCTAAGGCACATCAAAAGAAATTACCATGAACAACAGTAACACTAAACCTACAGAGTTAGACACGAAGAAAAAATTAATAAATTGTACAGCAATGAAGAATAACCACTTCACTAGTCATGGGGTCACAGTACCTGAAGTACCCAACCAGCGTATCTTGCCCACATCAACTCCATATGTTAGACTGCCACGCCCATGGAAATAACCGCCTATGAATAAGATTCAGAAATAAACATCAACGTAACAAGCATCAATTGCAAGTATAGCTACATGATCAGCCTGCCTGTAAATTACAAGGGAAAGGTTCCTTTTGGCCAATGAAGCACAAGTTAAATATGCATTTCACGATGAAAAGCCAACAAAACCAGGATATAATTTTCTATGAATGCCGAGGAGCTCAAAATAATACAGGCAACTTTGAGCTTCTCAGATTTCAGCAGTTCGCAAAACCAATGGAAAGGCAATAGGGCAAGAAAGCACACCTTGTAGCAACAAACCCAAAAGGAAAAGCTTAATTGTCCTCAGTATCACTTTTTGAGTAGCACTAGGTTTGCTAGAGATTTTCTGAAAAATTACACCAAAGGTCAAGAGACTGGTTTATTGTTTAAAATTCGGACTATTTAATAAGCTGCATTTATATGAGAAAGTCACTGTACAATGTCCAAACGATCATCTCTAATTATTATAAATCAAAAGATCTAAGCTAGTTAAGCCTTAAGTACCAATGCTTTTAGCAAAGTTTTGTGGAGGAAAAAGTAACAGAAGGGACTTTGTACTTGCTTATTTATATGCCCTCCTGAAAAGTCTATGGTTAAATACTCAAGAGGACAGAATAACTATAGTCTACAACCAAATTCGGGGGGAACAAAGAAGGAAAAAAAATCAACAAATGTTTTTTTTTTTAAGCAAGTCAGTAGTCAGTACTGATATCTGCCTCTTTATCTTTCATTTATAACGTTATGTTTACTTAATTAGAGGCAGGCCAGCATGCATGCCCAATCAATCACACTTTTTCATCATTTTTATTTCCACACCATAGCGAGCCATGGAGATAAACCACCTGATGAAATTCTAGCGTGTTAGGGAGATACTAGAGATGAGATTTGTTTTAGATGAGCACTCATCTTGTACTTTCCCTTCGGTACCCCCACACAGGCTTTCTGCAATTTCTTAAAAATCCAGCCAAGGGCACAATGGAACAAGCTGGTGGACGACAGCATAGCATCAATATGGGATTGGCATTACCAGTGATGGAGAAGGAGACTTTAATCAATAGCCCTTATAACTTCAAATTTCAAAAACGTGGTTCACAACCAATATACGTTTAGACTTTAATCAATGACCCTTATAACTTCAAATTTCAAAAACGCCGTTCACTACCAATAAAGGTTCTTTTCTTCTTTTCGGCCAATCAAGCACAAGTTAAATATGTATTTTACAACGAAAAGCTAACAAAACCAGGATTTAGTTTTATATGAATGCCAAGAAGCTCACAATAATACAGGTAACTCTGAGTTTCTCAGCCTGCAGACATTTGCAGAGCGTTATGGCCTTCCCTTAACTAATTAGGAGTACATTCCTTATGAAGAACTCGGCCCGACATTTTGCATTTAAAAAAAGGCGAAAAGATAAAGAGGGTTATAGAAGATACGATTGAGGGGCAGAGGCGCCAGAAGAAGCATCCTACCTTGTATACAAGACCGACTGAGACGCCGACCACAAAGAGGAAAAACGGCATTACAAAATCCGCAAGTGTCACCCCAAACCATGGAGAATGATTGATGGATGGGAAGGCTTTTCCCGCATCATCAACTAAAATCATCAACTGCGTTAAAAAAAAAAGAAGGTATATTAGAGGACAACACATAACCCCAAAACTCAACCAATAAAATTGAGAAATTTTGTGTATCGATAAAAGCAAATAAATGCAACTGTAACAACGCTTCTTCCGCAGTTCCTTTAAAAATTCAGTAAAATCACTAGATGGGCCTGTTGCTTGCTGACATTCGCCGCCGGGGAAGGGGGTTGCTTAGGGTTCCCCTTCAGCTATCGAGCTATACAAGGCACAAGATAATTGCCAAATCCAGACAAATGCACAAATTCATAAAACCTTCATGGACTCGAGCTGGAAAGGATTTCGCGCAATTAACAGCAAACAAAACAGAAAACGAGGAAATGATTTCGAAGCGGATGACAAACCGCAACAGTTAAGCCCCGGAAGACGTCGACAGAAGCGAGGCGTTGATTAGGAGCAGTAACTGTTGGCGTAGGTTTATCTGATGAAAAAGGAACGACGGTGTCTTCATTTTGATGGATGGAGCTACTGTGGGAAAGGAGAAGAGGGGCTCGTTGCTCCTCCGTAACATCGACGCACGTTGACATTTGCTCTTGCCTCGGCACGGCGCCTGCAGTTTTCTCGACTATGAACTGATCAAGAGTAGACCAGCCCGCGACTGCGACCGCATTGTCCCCTTCTTGTCGTTAGTCACATTCCCGGGAGATAGAGGCTATTTTGGTATCTTCATGTATCACATCGGAATTCAGAGTAAAATAATATACTGTTCATTATTATAAGATCTAATTAATTTATTTGGAAGATTAAAGACATTAGTTAAGTTGCTTATTTATTATAAATAAGTGTTGTCTTTTTTAAAGCACTTTGTTAATCATGTATATTACTTAGAGTTATCATTTCATGAAACATTTAATATGTGCAATTACTTTAAAGGACTATTTTAAAAAAATAAATAAATATAAAAGATAAAGTGGATTGAGGTCTTATATTTAGAACAAAATTAAAAATTAAACAACTTTTTATAATAAGGAAGGATGTAGTATATACGCACAGTCCCAAATTGAAGGTCTTCTTTTAATTTAAATGTATTCTATAGTAAGTGGCTAAGTGCTGTGGACATTTAGAGATACTTCCTCTGACCCTTGTTTAGAAGAAATCTTTTTTTTATTTTTTTATCATTTTTCATACAACTCTGGGTATTAAATATTTTTTCAGTATATGCTCATATTTAAGGACGCAATGAAAAATAGAAAATAATATAATATTAAAAAATAGCATAATATAACTGTGTTTTTTTTGGTAATAATATAACTGTGTTTTTATTAATGTGTGTGGATTAATTAGTTACTTTTAATAATAGGACGAGAGAGTACAAGTCATCTGCTTGCATGCGCATTGACCCACACTGATAATGTTGCTGCGTGGAAGATTTATGGGATCATGGGACAAATTAGTGTCACGCAAAGCTTCTTCAACCCTGTTGGTCTCTGTAGATTTTATATGGTCGCGGGGTATGCCATACTGTGCCCTCTAAGAGGGTGTTTTGATAGAAACCAAACTATGGTTTTAAAAGTGTTTTTACGATTTACGAAATAAATATGTGGAAGAGTTTGCCTCGTTTTGCGGAAAAGTGCTTCTGAAACAATGGTTTGGAGGTTACCAAACACCTCCTAATTAGCCTGTCAATTTGACGCACTGTAGTGAAAAGAACTCAGCATCCATATTTGACGTAGAGTTTATGGTTGTGTTTGTTGGAGCTTCGACAGGGGAAATCAGAAAAGCCACGGCCACTGAGTGAGGGCCATGCACAAAAAGGAAGTCAGTCTACGATGCACGAGGCATGTGTGGGCTAGGAATAGGATACGCAAAAAATGGTTCAGGGCTAGAATTAGCTTGGATAAGAGGCAAGAATGAGGAATTGAAGAAGCAAAATGCTGGTTGATTTCATTTTAACTAGCCTCCACTACATGGAGGAGCTGGAAAGATATCTCAACTTCATTAAAATGGAAAAAGCTAAGCATCTTTAATAAACTCTGGACGGGAGAAAAGGCACAGGGAGTGCCACACAAACAAGGAGGAAGGCTAAGGCTGGGATACACCAAAAGGAGCAGGGCCACGCTTTGGCTCGAATAAAAGAGGAGGTGAGAAGCGCAGGAATGGGAGTACAAGAAGCAAGATGTTGACAGATTCCGGCCTTCACTTCAGTCTCCCCGTAGAGCTGCAGGCAGAAACTGAATTAAGCTTCATGATTGTTATCTCACAGGTTTTTTTAATTATACTGCTACATTGAAGCTGCTAGCTGGAGACATGCCTCTGCAGATATGGAAATGGAAGAGCAGAATGTATTATTGACTGCGGTTTTAAAATGGAAGCCACTGTTTGAATTGAAAAATTCATCTGTTTGGGTCTGCTTAGGATGTGCATTCAGCCGTCACCTCCTTCCATAAATGATTATGATACAACGCTTGTTTGTGGGCCTCAGAATGAAAACCGCAATGTTCGGATGTATTTAGCTTTCAAATGATTATTACAGGTAACTCTAACCTTATCATATCTAAATTTTTTATATATTATATACATATTAAAATAATTATTTTAAATAAATAAAAAATTAAATCTAAACCATCTAAATAAAAAATAGATAATCCAAATCTAATAAACTTAAGATGCTCGTCAAAGTAATAAGTATTAAAACTAGTTCCATCATCAATCACCTTGTATATAAGTATTAAGTGATCATTACAGTGTAACTCTAACTTCATCTAAATGCACAGCTCTGCTTTAGTTGTTTTAACCATTTTTTTATTCATTGGGATCGCTGCCTTCCCTTTTCAACAATACCACCTCCGGTCTTACTTATAAGAGCTAGTTGACTAGTTTGAGAAGATTAAGGAAGTAAATTAAATTAGTTTTTTGTGATAAATAGATGTTGTCTTCCTAAAATATCCTTGCTAATCAAGTGTATTAGCCATAACTACTATTATTAGAATAATTACTTAGAAAAAAAATATAAATATAAGAGACAAAGTAAACTGAAATCTTATACTTATGATCAAACTAAAAACCAAACAAGATGTTATATAAAAAATAGAGGCAGTATTTTGTTGCCTCAGGTTCAAGTCTTCGCATAACTGTGCACTCTATGGTCGCTCAACTATTGCCTGAATTTGACTGACGAGTGATAAGTGACGACTATGCCCTTTTCTTTTCTTCAAAAGAAGGGAATCCATCCGATAGACTGAATTTATTATCAGTCGATGACAGTGACTCGACAAATTTAAGCGTTAAATTATTTAAATACTTGGAGATTAATTGAGGCCAAAATTAATTACTGAATGAGCATCTAGCCTCGCCATAAATAAGTAATCTTGCGTAGAATGCTCATCTACGTAGGAGATTAAAAGAAATGGAAGTTGCTTAATATGTAAGCACAGAGGGAATTTCAGGAGGAAGAAAAAGCTGGGCGGGGAAATGGAAATATGGAATTATTAAGTTAATAAAATAATAAAGATGAAATCGAGTGTGGAGTTGCTAGTATTTGATGATGGGATGATGCCTCGGAAGATAAATCACCGACAAATGATGGGGTCACCAATACCCATGCGTCGTGAATCCATATTATTTCATTTCTCCCCCTTCCCCTCCCTTGACCTACTCACCCCTCTCCTCCTCCTCCTCTTAATTCCCTCACTGTTCCTCTCCCTTCGCTCCTCTTTTCCACCGCCAATTCCCTCAGCTCGGAAACTATGCCCACTTCAATGGCTTTCATCTTCTTCTTCACTCTTGCTCTCTCCGTTCTCTTGTCCTCATCCACCTCCTCAACCACTACTGTTTCATCTGTTTCCGCTGTCGCCAAAGACCAAGTGGCCTGCGCCATGTGCACGGAGTGCGAAAATCCATGCCAACCCCCTCCGCCGCCCCCACCGGTGATTGAGTGTCCCCCGCCTCCAAAACCTCCTGTGGTGGAGTGCCCACCTCCACCCGCGCCACCATTGCCTCCGCCGCCTCCCCCTCCGGCTCCACCGTGTCCTCCAGATGCATGCGAACCAGTTCCTGAGACGCCGCCATGTCCGGGCGGACCTGACTGCAAGCCGCCGTGTCCGGGACCTGATTGCAGGCCACCGTGTCCGGGACCTGGTTGCAGGCCGCCGTGTCCGGGCGGAGCTGATTGCTGGCCCCGGCCACTGCCGTGTCCGGGCGGACCCAATTGCATACCAGGAATAGCATTCCCAATATACCAACCAGGCTACGAGGAGAGCCACGCCGGAACAATCGGTGGCTCAGCGCAATCCTTGACCTCGGTGGCCATTCTCTGCCTTGCATATTATTACTTGCTCATTTAGTTGTTCTTTTTCCCCCATCTAGTGTGATATTCTGTGTGTGTAAGCGGACTCCATTATCAAAGACAGTCGCAGTGACCTGAATAAAACAGGAACAGGCGATGACTGGAGCCCAAATAAGGTGTACGTTAGTAGATGATGACGGACGGGCACAATATGAGCCTTCGGCTATTTAGATCGCAGTACTCCGTTGACTGTTTCTTATTAGTGGCATTTATCATCATGTCATTGATTTTGTGTCACGTTGGAAGGAAGTAATAAATTGTTTAGTTTAACCATATATTCGGTTGCTCTTTTGCCTTTAATTGTTTTCATGGACCGGATGATATTATTATTCGTTTTCGCAAAGCACTCGCGCGCGCGAGGATGTGCTAGGTGGATGGGGAAGTGGGAGAATTAAATAAATGGGCAAGAGGGAAGAGAATAAATAGGTTGGATGTCTATGGCGTAGGAGATAAAGCGGGATTCTTGAAGGTGGGCAGTAAGTGGAGGACAGATGATGATGGGGATGGAATGAAGGGTTGTTGAGATAAAGGTGGGGCTGGAGCATGGGGTGTTCTTTGTGTTTGTGCAGAGCAAATAATGCACAACTTCTCAACAATGTTAATACGTGTCTGGTTCTGACTGTTTTGGATTTTCTGAATTGTTTGTTGTTTCGGTTAGAGCCCTTACCCTAGAGGACGGATGGGATCAAGTGTACGAGTGAAGAGTGGGCCATCAATGAGAGAGTCCGAGGGAGAGAGCCTTTATGGCAAAGGGATGGCGAATTGGCTTTTATTCAGCTTCTTCAACTTTATGCGCGCATCTTTAAACTATACATGTCAAAACGGACACCTCTCTTTCCTCCATTTGTCGCCTACTCATATTCCACCACACCCCCTCAACAGCTTATCTTCTAGTCGCCTCAATGCGCGCACGATATATCTTCGTAATTTTATTATGTTCTCCCCGTTTCTGGCATCTCTAATTAGCATCTTTAAACTACGTATGTATCGAAGAGGCTTCCTTCAAATAATATTCATAGACCCCGTATCAATCGATATAAATCTTAAATCTATGCCACGTCGCATTCTTCCCGATTGAAAATGGAACGGCTCATTTAAAAAATTATATATATTACGACATGTATGACATGTTGTTTGGCTGCTTAATAACAAAAAATGGAATTCAATTGGCTAATTTATAATTATTTGTAAATACCTGCGTCAACACTTCACTGTCTGAAATTTTGAATTTGTTTTTATACTTTATAACTAGGTTAATATACTCTGGGTCTTTAAATTTGTTCTCATTTTAATTTTGATTCTTTAAGTTTTAAATTATAGATTTAGTTGTTTAAGAAAGTAGAGAGGTATCCCTCCCCCCATTTCTAGCCATCTCTAATTTGCATTTTGCATCCACAAATGAACTGGCATTTGACTGTTAATTGCAGGGGTTCAAGGGTAAAGGAAGCAGGCCGACCAAATATATACATGTGTATGTAAGTATTGAGGAAGCCTTCTTCAAATAATATTCATAGACCCCGTATCGATCGATGTAAACCATAAATTTATGCCAAGTCGCATCCTCTCCGATTGACAGTGGAACGGCTCAATTTTTTTTTTCAAAAAAAAATCTGCACGACATAAATAACATGTTTTTTTTTTTCCCGGCTACGTAATAGTAATAAGATACGGTATTCAATTAGATAATTTATATAATCATATGTAATTAATTGCATCAAATTTTCAATTCGCTGTTATAATCTATAAATTTAATTATTCCACACTTTCTAATACTGATTTCGACTCATGATAATTGAAGGAGTGTTTGGATGAAAATCAAACCATAGTTTTAAAAGTAATTTTACAGTATACGAGTAAATATGTAGATAAGTTTATCTCGATTTATAAAAAAGTATTTTTAAAAAACAAATTTTCTAATTCCCAAACACCGCCTGATTAGCAATGGAAAAGCAAAAAAGAGAGTTAGAGAAATACAAATCAAAGTAATATAAAAATTCAATTCATCCATCTTCTTCCAATTACAACGGAGTACTAGCAAAACAAAAACAAAATCAAAAAACAGAAAGAGAAAGTAGCCGCCAACCAAAATCACCGACTATCCACGTATACAAAAAGTTATCCCGCCAAAACTCATTACAAATTGAAATTCAAATCAAAACGCTCTTTTTGTGCCACCATCCTCCTTCTAACCGACGTTCCAGTTACTTTCCATCGTCTGCCCTCATCCTCCAAACATGGCCAAAGCAAATGCTAAGGAAAAATCCACTTCCGCTGCTCTCCATCCCCCCTATTTCCATGTACTCTCTTCTCCCTTTCCTGTCTCTAACATTTTTTCACGATCTTCTGTTAATACCGGCGCTGTTTCACGTTTCTTCTTTTGCAGATGATATCGGACGCCATTTCTACGCTGAACGATCGCACGGGTTCCAGTCAGCAAGCAATTTCCAAGTTCATCGAGGACAAACACAAGTCACTGCTGCCCCCGAATTTCAGGACACGGCTTTCTGTTCAACTCAAGAAGTTTGTCAAGTCGGAGAGGCTGTTCAAGGTGAAGAATTCCTTCAAGATCTCCTCCACGGAGAAAACCAGGACTGCCAAACCACGCAAGAAGGGCGCGACGCCTGAGCAGAAGGCTGCCAAGAAGATCGCAGAGCAGGGGCTGAAGACCAAGAGGCTGAGTCACGTGAAGACGCCAGAGGCTCTCAAGAAGGCCCGCAAGGATACTGCGAAGTCGATAGCCTCGTCGGCTGGGAATGACCGGAAAGTGAAGCGTCTGAGTCAGGTTAAGACTCCCGACGCAATGAAGAAGAAGACCAAAATTACCCCTGTGAAGAGGAAGACTACTTCCATACCCATTAAGTCTTCTAGGCCTGCGAAGAAGGCTAGGAAATAGGTCAGTTCAGTAACTTTAGCCATACTATTCATGAAGTGTGAGGCGTGCTGATTAAATATTACGCAACGCTGTTGTGTTCTAGATTTTCTTGATTTGATTCCCCTGCAGTATATGTTAATGCTATTCTGTTGTAATATCCTTGTGTGGGTGTTGACAAATGATGATCACAGATTCATGGTGGTTGCATCAGCATCTGCTTCGTTTCTTGTCCCGTTACATTTTTCCAGTTTTTTAGTCCAACCAGATAGTTTGCCGTTGTGTCTGATGCGTCTCCGATTGGCTGATTATGGGAGGAACTAACCATTTTCACTGGACTCAATGTTGGTGACAAATGAGAATTTAATCTGTCGCACTGTGGGGAATTCATGTGGATTTTGGACGTCGGGTTCTCTGCTCTGCGTTTATTCAATCATGCCTAAAGCCCTTTTTTTTTGGGGGGGGGGGGGGGCGCTGAGTTACCCGAACTTCATTGTTTGGGAACCCGAACGTATTATTTGCAAGCTTTGAAGTTTGAACCACACTAACCAGATTGGTTAAAAAAACAATAGCACACTAATCACATGGTCTGCGACGTAACATGGGCCGCTCAAGCACAAGTCTGGCTCAAACAGCCCAAATTCTATTCTATTTTTTTTAGCACTAATTTATCGGGATAGAGAAGCGGAGATCACTATGGTGTTTTTAAAAAAAAAGAAATAAAAAACTTATACCCTTCTTCTGTCTCCCATCCTTGCCCTTAATGAAGGTCGCTGTCTTAATTGATTGCTGGGTCCACTTCTTTCTAATTTGCCGCTTCTTATTTAATTTGATCACACCAATATCAACAACCATCTCAAAGGATCCAGGTAAAAAAAAAATTAATGAATGGTTATCTTTTTATACGCCATACAGAGCGAGGGAGCCATCTCTGGCTCAAATACCGGTCTGGTTAAATATCCACATGTTTTGCTGGGAGAAAAAATCCACTTGAGCTGTCCTGCCCCGTGACCTGAGGAATATTATAGTAGACTTGAAATTTAATAAGGGCAGAACAAACAACGAATTGGCGCGGTTCTTTTTGGTTGTTTTTTGACATGTTTGGTCATATGTAATAATGATATTACCTATGGTTATAATTATAAATTGTAGACTATAAATAAGATTTCATAATAAAAACCGAAATTAGTAATAATTAATAAATAGGATCATAGTTGGCCGTAAAAATGGTGAATGTTGGGATCAATTCCTCAATGTCTTTTTCCGGCAAATTCCCAGCTTGCTTGCCCTTTCATTCTTATTTATGTTTTCTTTACCTTATTATGATTCATGAATGGGGGATTTGTTAATTGGCAAATGGACTTTAAAAAAAAAAACCTTAGTTAAAGAATAAGCTTCTTTTGTTATATTAGTCGTTCTCTCAATAAGCTTCAGAATGTACAAATTGCCAGCTTTTAACGAGGTTTTCTCTCCAACATGGGTTTATTCACGTGTTGTAGTTTTATAGCGCTCAATATTAATTTGTAGAGTATTTTAAACATTTTTAGTTTTTAAATATGATATTTAATCCAATAATGAAAATTAATTGATACGCATGATCCTTAAACAAGTGCAGCTCGATCGCCAATGTTCTTTTGTATATCGCTGTCTCCCCTCCTGGTAGGACGATGAAATGACGAGAATCACATATTGGCACATTAATACCATGCAAAGTGGGGGGGACAATCTCCATTCTTTATGCATTTGTAGCCCGTTGACCTGCTCTCGTGAATAGCATCACCACATCTTACGCTCACGTTCACAGCCATCGCCATGGATGGAGATCCAATAATGTCTTTTAGGCACCTGACCAGAATACCCTCGCACTCAACGTGATATTCTTTTTTATGAGTATTATGATTGTGATTATAATTCCAGTTGAAGTATGTCTAATAGTATTAAATACTACTGAGTCCAAAAAAAGGTACTCCTCCGGTCCTAAATGTAAGACTCTTATACATACTATATTCTTACATTTAGGACCGGAGGAGTATTAAATACTACGACACCACACCTAATACCCTGACATTGCGGAGACCCTGACTTTGAATATACTCATCCTCGTGCATCCAACAAAAAGAATACGTACGCTTCAGCCCAATATACTTGTTTGTTTGGGGTTGGAGAGGGACACATCTCACTATCTCAAATATGAAAACAAGAACCCCTTCACCAAATCAATGGTTAACGGAGTTAATTTTTATTTTTATTTTTTCATTTTAAAACATCAAAGTTAAGCCTGAGTACAATTCTCCTTTGTTGGTGCCTTTCTGCACATTAATTACCTCCAAAAATATAGCAGTACTCTTTTTCGTTTTCTCTTCCTCGCCTTAAATTCTGTCATTTTCACAACAGGCGTGATTAAATGAAACCAAGGGCGGTGGTTTTGTCAACGACAGGGCTTATCAGTTGCGAAAGATGTTCATAGGTTCATGCCACTTAATTTTGGGCTGCGGTACGAAGCTCGCTAATCCCCCAGTTAATTAGGGAGCTTAGGTCGTAAAAGAAGCTGGCTTCCTAAATATGTGTGCAACCAACGCACAGATCTGGTGCTTCTTGTTTTCTCATCATACAGCGATTGCTTAACAAGAGAACCGTGTGTTTTCCATATGCTCACATTTCGAGCCAATTCCAAAATGATTAACTATTAATTGTTTCCGACAGAGGACGGATAGAAATAACAATAATGAGATGCAGCAGATAATGTTTAGCTTATTTAATTTGTTTGTGATGGTGAGAGATTATATTGTATCGTGGGCGACTTGTGCCCTAGACCCTTTTTTTTCTTACTCTTAATATAATTTTGATCTTTTATTTTTTTATTTTGATTTTGATTTCTCAAAATTCAAATTATAGATTTTTATTTTTTAAATTTTTTATTTAAAATATTAGTCTCTATAATTCAATAAAAATCGGGATCATTTTACCTTTAAAGAATTAAAATCAAAATAAAGATAAAATTAAAATATTAAAAATTATATTAATCCATTATCCTTTTTTGAATGAAAAAACTGGAGGGGTGTTATTCATGTGGCCACCTCTCCTCCCCATTGGCCTCAACCGGATCACGATCCGAATTTATAAAATTATCAACCGAAATCCACGACAAGATGCTGATCCAACTAATCTTGGATGCCCACAGGGCACATGCCACCTCCCTCCTCATTAAATATCCTTACCTATTTTTCATACCACTATTTACTTTTCACTCACCCTTTTTTGTTTTTAATAAATTTATTTTCCACTCCTTCAAAATAGTAAAATCTTATCAGTGTTTGTTTATTTTTTACCTCTACCATTTTTGTCTTACTAATGCGTCATATATTTGTCATGAAAGTTATGTACTTTTGACATCAACAAATCTTCCGGGCGTCAGTAGAATTATATTTCAAAAAGGGGAAACCTTTTCAACACAATTTTCTTGTATTTATAACTTTAATTTATAAAAACATAAATTCTTCTGGCGGGTCCCTCACTCGAATCAGTACACGGTGTGATTCGTTGATCTGAACGGTGGATTCGCGATGCTCGTCTCTGTTCAGTGTTGACATAAGTAATATAATAGCGGCGTAAAATGAAAATAATAATAATAAGGGAAAAGCGGGGGAAGATATATAGGCGGATGTGTCAGCAAATTCTTTAATGGCTTCACCTCTCTGTGCCTAGGTTGATTATCTGCCCTCTTCACTCTCGCACCCACCCCCTACCGTTTTTGCTGCTTCCCTTCCCACCCTCTTTTTCTTTCTCTCCCCAGAAAGAGCGAACAACAAGAAGAGGGCATGGAAGGCATTTCGGTGAGCATGCTGAAGGGATTCAAGGACTACTGGAGCAGAAGAGGATACCGCAGATTAAATGGGTCGGGCCGGCGAAGGAGGATCTGCAGGGTGCAGCTGGGAAGCAGCCGGAGGAGGCGGTTCTGGAGGATCAAAATGGCTCCGAAGATCCGGTTGTCGAGGATTCCGTCGCCAAAGAAGATGCTGGTGTGGCTGAGGGACGCCTACGTGAGAATGATGATGAGAGTGGCGAACTCGCGAGCCATGAGCATGAACGTGGGCGGAGCGGTGATGAGTTTTGGCGGAGGCGCTGCCGCCTCGGGCTTCGGGAGGGGACCTATGAAGGAGTACGACGAGAAGATGATCATCCAGATGTACAAGTCGTTGATGTTGAGGCAGGCACACTTGGTGCCCTGCGACACCCCCAGAATCTCCTCTGTTGTCGCCGCCTGCCCTCCCAAAACTTGAAAGCCATCACTGATGGTGATGATGCATCGGATCATGTGTGGCCTCAGGACTCTGAAGCTGGCTTCCTTTATTTGCTCTTTACGATCCATGCTTCAGCCCCTTTCTTTTCCTGTTCTTTTGAATGTAACCGCAATACCGAAATTCCTCAGCTCGCTCGCTCACTCACTCACTGTTATAAGGCCTCGACCTCAAATTTTAGGAACAAATCGGATGCTGATCTCGTGCTTGCAATACATCCTTCGTCAAAATCTGTAAATACCCTCCCTTCCCCTTCCCCTTTTTCTACTTTAACGAGACTTCTATCTCTCCTACTGATGCTGTAATAAGAGCTCCATTGCGCCCCATTTGGATCACGTACGCCTTCAAAAAAGTATATGTACGATTCCTTTAATCCAATAAAATGCCGCAGTTTCGATATTTCTGTCTCCGACATTAACTTCTTTTTTAAATTTTCCCTTTGCATTATGCACACAAGAGAACAAGAGACCCCTCTTTTACTGGTGCCTCCAGTGTTGGACTTCAAAGTTTCAGTTCATCAGGTTTTGCTTGAGGACTATGATGGTGATTAATTTGGTTGACACTACTATATATTATCCTTGTAGTTGATTGTTTTTTTTTCCCAATTTCCGTCCCCGACTTTTATTACTATTCATTGTTATTTTGGAATCCTGTGATTTTAAGGCGATCTTCGTTATGCACATTCAGCGGCGCAGTTGATGAAATCATGAGATCTGAGTCGGTGTCAAAGGATTTTAAGCATCTTCGAATTAAATCGTTAGGGAATGAGGACGAGGAGAAAACATGTTGATGTTGAAGCCACCGCATGAAATGAGTAATTACTAGATGATTAGGAACAACGGGGCAAGTATGCTGGCAACTCATATTTTAAGTGAGATATATTGTTGGTACGCTACCACTTGTGTCAAAATTTTTGTATGCTAAAATAATGTGAAGGCCATAATTTATCAATTTATGGGAGGATGTGGGAGGACCTAACGCGAATAAGACCAGCCACGCCTTTTCCATAATAGTTGGCCAGGCCAGGCCTATCTTCTTCCTTTTTCAACCCAACCCAACTCTAACCTCCCCGTTTTACTCCTGTTTAACAGCTAGACGGCCGTTTAGTGACAACACGACAAGCCGTTTGGTGGAAATTCAGAGCCCCTGCTTCCCTTTGTGTGTATTTATTAATTTATTTCAGTTCCCACTTACCACACAGGACCACCAGCTTCTATGCATCGCTTTCTCCATTCTAAACCTCGCGTCAAGGAATGGAATTAGTGGCGTGCATGCTTTTGGTTGAAACAAGTAAACTTCGTCCATTCCATTCCCATCGCATGGAAATTACAATTTCACGTGTCATTGCTGGATGAATAAGTAAAATGACCAAAATGCCTACACGTCTTCATCCAATTATTTCAATTATACGAGTATTAATCTAAGTCTTTAAATGCGTCTACGAATTATTGACATTAAAAATACTATTTTGATATACTTTTTAATCTCTGGAGTATATTATTTTCACCCAATCAAACATAAATATGAATTAAACAATTCATTCAGTCTTTATGACATCTTATTCTATCAGACCTCATTCCCATTCCCCTAAACATATCACGCAAACCTGACTGATCCTTGCATTTCATACTCACGCCTCGGGCAGTGATAGGCCGACAGTGAAAAAATTATTTTTTATTTCATAAAATATAAAAATACACAACACATATTATCCTTATACCACCAATATTTAATAATGCTATTACTTTTGTCATTATTATTTTATTCATGGACGCAAAAAATATTTTCAAATAATAAAAAATGGTTCTCGCTCTATGAGTCCATTTTTTTGCAACAAAATAAAAGCAATATCGGCCTCGTAGTTAACCTTGAGGAAATGTAGGTCCGACCTCTTTATGTTTCTGGTACATCGAATCTACCAAACAAAACTGGAATAGTTGGACCACTAAATAAATTGGGCCACGAAAATCCCCCGTCCATTTGGACACGGCCCTTCTTCATTACTTTTTAATCCACTATCAAATTGCCATCACGTGGACCAATCATTAACTCATCACCAATACCCCCCCTCATATCTATTGTAACTAACACTCTCAGTTCGTTCTTTCCGCTGTATTAAAAAAACAGTCTCAGTTCGTTTCCACATTTTCTTTAAAAAAGATATCACACTGCAAATTCTTATTATTAATGTAAATCTATCTGTTAAAACTTGATAAAAAAATTGGACGTCGATATAAGCAAATAAATTTAAGTTTTATGCTTGTTTATTTCCATACCATTGCCTTTAGGAACCCCCTCCCATGGGTCTCTACTCACTAATCTGAATTGTTCAGATTGATTTAAGTTAGTCCATACCAAGTTTAATTTAATTTTTTTAATTTCAAATTATTTTATTCAATTAAAATAAAGGATACACATGATCGTCGCTTTAAAAAATAAATGTAGTACTACTTCCGATTATTAATATAAGAATTAATTTGACATTCAATTTGATTCTAAATATAAAATTTTAATCCATTTTGCTTATCATATTTATTCTTTTTTTTTTCAAAATAACTATTATAGAAGTTGCACATATTAAATGTTTCATTAAATTGTAATTTTAACTAATACACACAATTAAAAATAATATTTTCGGGAAAACAATACCTATTTATCATAAATAACTAACTTAACTAATTTTTTTAGTTTTCTCAAATTAGTCATCTCAGTCTTATATTGAGGAACTTGCCTAAATTTAGACCATACAAATCAACTTTAGAATGAGCGCTGATGAGGGACCTCTTATAATATACGGGGAATTGGGTGGGATTGTGCATTTTTGACTAGAGGGTTGAAAAATTGGCAAAACCTCAGTCCTTTTCAGTTTACAAATAAAGGAGAAGGAAAACCAGTCGTTAGTCAACATGGCTAAACGAACACGACGCCATAATCAAATCATGCAGACGCTTACATTCAATAATACAGCCAGAACGGTTAGTGTGATGAGGTACATATGACTTTTAAATTTCAAATTTAATAATGAAAAAATATGAATGACCGACCATGTTAAGACGTAGCACGGAATAGGATAGAAAATATATGTAAAATCGAATGCATTATAAGGGAGGAGTAAGAAAACAGCAACTCAATAATGTGAAGGCGGAGTTCTCCTAACGTTTCCAATTGTACATGTCTTTTATTTACGTACCGCCGAATTTATCTGCATTCTCTCTCTCTCTATCTCTCTCACATGGCCTATGCATTTTCTTTCTTCCCTTTAACAACGTTTCTGGTCAAATGCCTCCATACGCATAAAATCATACTATATGACTAATTCCTAAAATATGTTGCTGCAAAAGCAGCCAACCTATCTAATTTTACAGTTGATTATACCCAATTTCATTCTTAATTGAACCGCACTTCTCCGATACATATATCCTCTTCAACTCGTTCTCGTTCGCATCATTACTCTCTTTCGCTCCAAGCAACAGAAAACGAACTCACCTTTTCGATTAAATCGCCTCATAGATTTCATGAATTTATATCAGCTAGCTGGTGCTAGGAAGAAGTTATTTATAAATTCGATATGCTTGATTATTAAATTACTGGCAAAGTAAACGAGAATTATATGAGTTGTATCATGCATGGTTAATCACGTGCATAGGAAAAGTGAGATGCGATCAACCCTCCAAGTTTGTTTATTAAGGAAACAGGTCCCAATCAGGGGAACCTCTTTGTTAAAGAACAGCAGGGAGTGGATGATTATGGACGTAAAGTAACCAATGAGTGTATGTGTAGTGCGAGAATTAATGCTGCCGACTACGAGAATAGCTTTATTTTTCATTATCATCTTGTCTGGTTTTGCTTGTGTAGATAAGGATAAGGTGCCCTTTTCTCTTTGTGCATTTAATTATACTGCTAGATAGCTTCAATGCGAAGGGTAATCAACCATGAAGCAAGCCCAACGTGCTGAATTCTAGAGTATGGATTTTGAGTGTAGAAATTTGATCTGTGGCTCTCCATTAACTGCTTTGTCACCCTTCTTGTCACAGGTGAAGGAGACCCTTATCTTGATGTAATTTTCTTGGCCTCTCTTATTTTAGCAAACAAAACGTCCATTTGGTGGCCTGTATCATCAGAACGAAAGTGCCATTGCCTGCGTTATTTTATATACATGGGTCGCAATTTCACCTAACACAGCCTTGTATATACACACACGCACGCACGTCTATATAGGTTTCTTTTATGGAGAAAAGGATGTAATATACATGCAGGTGCAGCATGACAAACACACCCGCATTGACAGCTAACTTCTGTTTGCCTGAGTAACGACAGGTTTTCTTTTCAAAATATTCTTCCGATCCTAAATATAATACTTATTTTGTAGTATAATTTTTTTAATAAATGCAGTCTTTTATCATATATTTTACATTTTATTTCTTCTTCTTTTTTTCCTGGTACGAATTAGTCTCACGAAATTAGGGTCTTCAAATACAGTGAGTAGCTTATGAACAAAGGTCCATGAGTTTTTTCTTTCGTTTTTTTTAAACAAGATTAGGTTTTGACAGAAGAAAAAACGGGCATGCATATGGGTGGGAAGTCGGTGTCATGAGAGAACTCATGCCAACGGCTACCTTATTAACGTCTATATTATTATTTGCTGTATTAACTACGCCCTCACGTCATCAACGATCAACCCAAACCCCCCCTTTTTTCTATTCCATTAATACTTTATTATGGCAACTTCCACGTTCTTTTTCCCACTTGTTTGATTAATAATAATTAATTCATTCTTTTCCCTTCTTGAGACTTTCTGCTTATCCAATTGCACCGACACTAGTTGCCGTCGCTATACTTACTGATTTTAGAGCCGAAGAAGCTTTGCGGCGAACATAATATCCTTGTCTACATGATCATAATGAAACTTTAAATGAGCAGCACGAGGGAAGGGGGAACCATAGAACAGAGGTTGCTGGACACTAGGGAGGCGGGGATGATTTGGGCCGGGAATAGCCCACATGTCATGGGTTCCGACCCGATCTGAAGTTTCCTGATCTGTGAATGGGCTGACCAGGGATGCTTACAGCTGTGAACACAGTGTCAGACTGTCATGGGGAAGCGTACCGTACATACTCAGTCACTCTGATTCCGGACTTGACATCTGCGCCTGCTACGTACCCAGGCACGCTCGGGGCTTCCTTTCATGTATTTCCACAGTGACGTCCGTATATCCGTATATCGCTAAACCAAAACTTCACAACAAATTATAAACAAACCGATTAAGAAATTTAAATTAACCGAAATATTCAACTACGTTAGTTTTTCCAGCAAAATTAATTATATATACCCTATATTTTTAAAATTATGAAAAATATTATTACAGTGTTGAATTTTTTTACCCTATAAATTAAAGAAAACTTACATGTGAGAAATAATTGCACCTGAATCATTCTAAAAACTTATTAAGGGCTAGAAATTTTTAGATTATAAATTTCAAATTAGAAAAACACCTATCACGCTCTACGTTTCTGTTTTTTGTTTTTTTTTGCCAACCTATCACACTCTAGGTTGCGCAAGTGACTTTTACAGCTTTGTTCTGGGCATCT